GACGCACGTCTGCATCAACTCAGAGGGAGACATAAGGAGGATTTCAGTCAGGGAAAAAAAAAAATCTCAAAATAGCGTGGCGAGTGCCTGAGAGCTGAGGGTGGTGGGTCACACCTGTAACTCCAGCACGTCAGAGAGGGAAGCAAAAGAAAGTCAAGCCAGGTGCCAGTGGCTCACGCCTGTCATCCTAGCTACTCAGGAGGCTGAGATCTGAGGATCATGGTTCAAAGCCAGCCTGGGCAGGAAAGTCCTTGAGACTCTGATCTCCAATAAACCACCAGAAAACTGGAAGTGGCGCTGTAGCTCAAGTGGTAGAGTGCTCACCTTGAGCTGAAGAGCTGAGGGACAGCGCCTAGGCCCAGAGTTCAAGCCCCACAGCTGACAAAAAAAAAAAGGCAATTCAAATTTAAGGCTAACCTGGGCTCCATATAGGCGCTCTGGTAAAATAACAACAACAACAATAATAATAATTTAAAATGTGAAGCAGGTACCCGGTATATCACCTAAAGAGGCTTCCCATGAGACCGTCTCACACTGGCCAGGAGCCCACACTTGGATTCCTGCTTTGCCTACAGCCGTCCTCTGTGTTATTTGGCCTGTGTTCATGATGCCCTGTTCTTAGAGCGAGGCAGGCTTTCCCTCAGAACAGAGCCATTTCCTTCCCAGAGGAGGTAACAGCCTTGTTTTACTTGAAGAAGTTCTCATACTTTATCACAGCACAAGGCAACGTAACAGATTTTTTTCACTCTGCTGCCTAATTAGGGAAACTACTGGTAGGAGATATGTGTAACTCTCCAGACACTCAAGTATGTAATACTATGGTCCCGTTGGTCTCTTCCTAAATATCCAAGAATACTTCCAGTGATTTTCCATTACCTATTTTTAAATGGGTAATGTTTTCATGCACAGACTAGAACAAAACTTCTAGAATACGATCAGAAAAAAAATTGTTGTTGGTTTTTGTATCAGTCATTGGGCTTGAACTCTGGGCCTGGGCGCTGTCCCTCAGCTCTTCAGCTCAAGGCTAGCACTCTACCACTTGAGCCACAGCGCCACTTCCAGTTTTCTGGTGGTTCATTGGAGATAAGAGTCTCACAGACTTTCCTGCCCAGCCTGCTTTGAACTGTAATCCTGAATCTTATTATTATTGTTGTTGTTGTTATTTACTTGTACAATTTTTTTGGGGGGGGGCCAGTCGTGAGCCTGAACTCTGGGCCTGGGCGCTGTCCCTCAGCTCTTCAGCTCAAGGCTAGCACTCTACCACTTGAGCCACAGCGCCACTTCCGGATTTTTTTTCTGCTTATGTGGTGCTGAGGAATTGAACCCAGAGCCTCATGCATGCAAGGCAAGCGCTCTACCACTGAGCCACCTTCCCAGTCCCTACTTGTACAATTATAAACTCAGATCTCAGCCTCCTGAGTAGCTAAGATTACCAAAAAATATATATTTTCTGCATAAAACAGAACAGAGGGTTTTTTTTAAATAGTTTGGTTTTGTGCCAGTATTAAGACTGAATCCAGGGCTCTCATTCTCCCTAGCTTTATCTACTTACAGTTGGTATTCTACAACATAAGCCACATCTCCAGTTCTAGTATTTTTGCTGGTAAATTGGAGAAAAGAATCTCTTGGATTTGTCTGTCCAGGTTGGCTTCAAACCACAATCCTCAGATCTCAGCCTCCTGAGCAGCCAGGATTGAGTGAGCCACTGGTGGCTGGCTCCAGGGACGAAGGTTTATAGCACATTTAAGCAATGCCATTTTCTTCCTTCGCTATGCTACTCAACCCTCATTTTCCTGTCATTTGTTTCTACTGAAGAGATAAAGGGGCTTCTATTCATTCCACAATGTACTGACTGCTGACTGTAATACTCCAGACATACACATAAAAAAATTGTTCTTACGGTCAAAGAGTTTGTGCTTTGGAAAGATGGAGAGGGTTACAAATGAAAATCCCTAGCCAAGAGGCTAGCCTCGAACCTGCTATGCAGCCAGCCTGGTCTGCAAGTTCATGCTGGGCCTGACTCTGCCTCCTGAGTGCTGGGACCAAACAATTTAGTTTTGTACAAACTCCATCATCATCATCATCATCGCCATCACCATCATCATCATAATATTATTATTTACAAAAAGGTTATAATTACAAACTTTGTGTTTTAATAGAACCAAAGACAAAGTTCAAAAGATCAGAAAGACCAAAGTAGTTCTCTGTGACCTTAGCTTTCTGCCATTCTTAAACTTTTGAGTCAGGAAAGTCTTCTAACATATAATCTTAAACAAATTCAGACTATCTGTACTCGTGGATAATATCATCTTAGGCTACATTAGTCATCTACATAAATACGTGGGCTGGATTTTTCCGTTTGAAAGCGGCACCTCTCTGTCTTTACCTGGTGGCCCGCGAAGCCTCTCTCTTCTTGTTTTCAATTTCTCATTCAATGCTCACATCCATTTTGATTCAATAGCAGTATGAAATAGTATGGTACGTGAAGCTAGATGTAAACTCATACTGTTTACATCTCATCCCGAAGTCCAAGCTTGGGACCAGGGCTGGGTAGCATTTGATATCTATTTTGCCTATTAAGCCATTATGATTTCCCAGGACTATGAAGTTCCCTGAGAGACAAAGGCTGTCTTCCCCTTCCTCCATCCCCGGGGGTCCTGTGTGGTAGATAAGTGCTTTACCACCCCAGACAACTCTGTGTGTGTGCATGTGTGTGCCTGTGCATGTGTGTGTGTGCACATATGTGCATGTGGTACATGTGTGTGTGCGAGTGTGTGTGCACACGCACTGGTCCTGGGGCTTGAATTCAAGGCCTGGGTGCTGTCCCTGAGCCTGGTTTGCTCAAGGCTAGCTCTCTACCGCTTGAGTCACAGCTCCACTTCCAGCTCCTCCTGAGTAATTTTGATGTCCACCCCGGCTGGCTCCAAAGCGGCCTCCTGACAAGCTAGGATCAGTCAGACATGGGCCTGACCCACACCCTGGCCACGCAACCTCTTTTAACTGCGGTTATCTATCCGCCCAACCACAAAGATGGTCGCTCACCCTTCAGAAGGAGCCCTGAGGACATCAGTGCTTGCTGAGAAACCACAAGTAAAAACCCCAGGGAAGAGTTTTGTCCTGGCCCTAAGATTACTCAACAGGCTAAGAAGTCAGACTCTGTTCTCAGACTCAGCTCCCCAGATGATTGACCTGACTGAAAATCCGAGCACATGTTAAGCCAATTTATTAAGACTCGGAAAGAAAGAAAACAAAACAAGGAAAGGACCAAAGTTCCAGCTATAGTATCGCGTTCTCACGCCAGTGGGATACTATGGCTGCTTTGGTGAGTTTAATTCGAATAAGCTTAATGGCGGCAATTGCAAGAGAGGCAAGCGGAGTATATACGTTGAGGTAGGCATCGTGCTAAGCACATTTACAGAGAGACTTCCTGGATGCCAGAGCTATTCGTGAGCCGCGTCTTACAAGGGGAAATGAAGGAAGTGGGTTGTGTAACCTGTGCACAGTCCTGGAACCTTAGGGTGAAGGACTCAGTCCACTCGGTAGGGTTGTCAAGCCCCTGAACTACTCACAAAATGATCTGGGGTTGCGGGGGAGGGAAGCAGTATTTCTAATGAAATAGTTCCCATTTTGAGAAGCTGGTTAGATAAGAAATGCGGGCATTTAGTCCTGCCAAGGACATTGTGTTCAGTCATGCTGAACAACCAGAAAAAAGTTTACACGTCTATTTGACCCTGGTATTATGCAATTTGAAGCTAGTGTTTGAAAAGAAAAAATGCCATTATTTTTTTCATCCAAAGTTCAGATCTTTGTATGCCTGTATAGAAGGCAGAAACTTATTTCTATCTCCGTGCTTTATTGTGAACTCTTTTAGGATTCAATACTTACTAATGCACACCACCGTAAAGTCTAATTACCTAGAAAGCCGGTAAGTTGTTGGTGATAACACAGTTCTCACCACGTTGTCATTCTGATCCAAAAAAAGTGAAACGCACTGCTGGAAAAAGCCAGGGGTAACCATGAGTGAGCAAACAAGTAAGCGGTGTGTGCTAGAAGTGTGTGTTGTAGATTAAAAGCCCATTTAGGCCAGAGACGAAGCTTATTTAGAGTTACACAGTACTCTGTGCAGCATCCTAAGCAGATGGTAATGACTTAAAGCCCTCTGGTTAAAAAGTAAAATAAAATAAATGAATGAATGAATGATGCATACATGAACCCATGAGAAAAAGAGGTAGGAAGGAGGGAGGGAAGAAGATACCGGGCTTTGGCATATGGCTCTTAAAGGACCTGATCTGAGAGCACACATTTCAGCTTCAATACCTATAGTGGGTGCGTCGAGGCCTTACAATTAGGAAAAGCAGACCGCAATCACAAAAACTCCCTCTTTTTATAACATTTTGGGGTGTGCCACTGGGCACGCCCCTGATTTAGAGATGAGGGAACCGAAGCCCAGCGGCACAGACTCCCTCAGACTTCCCTCTAAAGGAGACAGATCCAATGGCCAACCTTCTCCTGCTACGCCACACTGCGACTTGCTTTCTACTAGGCGTTTTCAAAAACCTAAGGAATCTTGACTAAAGATTGGGCAGGGGGAAAAAAGGTCAGGTGCCCTTGATTCACATCCATAATGTTAACTGCTCCTAGCAAACCTGAGATTAGCAGGATTTCAGTTCCAAGCAGGCTGAAGGAGCTTTGGGAGTGAAGAGACTCTGTCTCACTAGAAAGGCTGGACAAGCTGATACCAATCTGTCATCCCAGCAACAGTAAAAAAGACCTAATAGGAGAATTGTGGTCCAGACCAGACCAGGGAGACTGATCAGAGCTCAGAAATAACCAGAGCCAATGGGGCTCAGCAGCAGAGCTTCTGCCTACCTGGATATTTTAGTCATGCATCAGAGAGAGAGAGAGAGAGACATCCCTCAGAGCTGAGAGGTAGGAATTGCCAGGAGCCACATAATTTGTAAAGAGCTGGTTGCCACTAATTGTCTTGCTTGATCCTCTAGGAGCACGTGGAAGATGGTCGAGCAAGCATCTATCACTCCGTCATCACCAACACCAGCAAAGAAATGTCCTGCTTCAGTGACTTCCCCATGCCTGAGGATTTCCCAAACTTCCTGCACAACTCTAAACTCCTAGAATACTTCAGGATTTTTGCAAAGAAGTTTGATCTTCTCAAATACATCCAGTTCCAGGTATTGTATTTGGGAGGTGGAGGACGGGCTCTCTATGATGGTGCTGTTTGCATGTGGTGATGAAAGGAACTGTGCGCAAACTGCCCTCCCTGCTCTGATAGTGTTGTTGTCTGTATTAACACAAATGAGAAGATCATCTGTCAACATTCAAGGTTTGAATGATGACAAACTGCCTTTAAACTAGTATTTTCTCCCTCCAGCAAATTCTCCTAGCCTCACAGTCTTGAAAGAATATATGTAAAGAAATTAAACTCATATTTTATTTTTTAACTTCTCTATAGAAATGAGATTTCTTCACTGTGTTAAAAAAAAACTTACTACTTCCTATTCATCTCAGAAGCACAAGGAAGTAAATTTTGCAAATTGTTTTTCTGGTGACATCTCTAGCAACATAGAGGTGATCTGACCAGTTTGAAAGACACTTGAGATTACCTCTTCCTTAGTGTTCAAAACCAACAACAAAAATCATAATATTCTCATTAAATGTGCTATGTTTTGTCAATAACCTACACTCTGAAAAATAGTAACTGCAAAGAAAATAAATTTTAAATCCTTTTCTGGAGCATTTCTGTTAGTAAGGCTTACATTTTTTTAACCATACTTTATTTTCTTACTAATTCTAATTTCATATGCACCAGCCTTGCATTGTACTAATTTATAGTTGATTTTGATAGCACTCTATGTCTTTACATACTATCAGAATGTCCAGTTTTCCTTAGTGCAGCGTCCCTCCAATTCCTAGGAGATATGTCCTATAAAGGACAGCTTCTTTATACCAGAAGCTTTGATAGGACTTTGTCCACTTATTATCAATCTACTTAACAAACATACTTTCTTCCTATGAGATGTAATTATAGCATCTGTTCTTAAATGCACTCACTACCTTACATACCGTACGTCCATATTAAAATTGGAAGAGAGGTATTTCTCTAGTGTTAGTGCCGCTGTTGTTTTCTGGAGGAGAAAGAAGGTTGAAAGACTCGTATCCACGTGTCGGTCTCTGGACTGGCACAAGTGATCGATGTTAAGGCCCACCCAATGAAAAACCTAGGCAAACAGAGAAAGGCTTGTTGCTTCATTGAGATAATGTGCTGTACCTCAACGCTTCTTGAGAGTTAGTGGGACACGACTTCCCTGAACAGCTTGTTAAAACATGGATTCTCACGCAACGGGCTTTGGGTGAGTTCTGAGTCTGGCAAGCTCCTGGGTGATGCCAAAGGCAGTAGTCCTGAAATCGCACTTTAAACAGCACCTGCGTCTTTACCCTCCGCGGGGACCTGCCGCCATGCTCCCGAGAGCTTTCCCTGCCTTCTGCCGCTGTCCCTCATGCTATGCTCAAACGGAGACGGCTCCACAAGTCACTCCGAATAATGAAATAGCATCTACGACTCTGAAAACCTGGCTGTGAGACCTCAGCTTTCAGTCACCGTGGGAAACACGTGAGATAATCAAGTTTAAAAAAGGAAAACAGACATTTCGGCACAGGTTCAGAGCTTTCCATCCAAGGCCGCTTGCCTTCCAGTCCATTGTCTTGGGCCTGCAGCCAGCCGAGCATCATGGGGGGTAGCACATGGAGCCCCAGTATCCTCTTAAAGGGGATGACCCAAGGAATTAACCTTCTCTAACAAGCTCCACCTCTTAAAGGTTCCTCTACCTCTCAATAACCATGGGAAGGACACACAGCCCTCAACACACTTACCCAAACCAGGGAGAGCCAAATGCTTGCAAACAAGAAAAGGTATATGATACTTCTCTACAAGTGTGGCAAGCTTTGCTTCTAGTTGACATTGTTTCTTGATCATAGCACACAGGAAATGTATGTAAACCCCTTTGAAAACTAATGGACCTCCAGAGTGAACTATATTTAACAAATCAGTGAGCTGACGAATTCTTTGGTTCAGATGAAATCGTGAACTGTATTGCTAATGTGATGTACTGTTTGGAAAATAATGAATATTAACCACAACTATTCAAGAGATCTAATAATAGGCCAGTCACGCTGTGGAGAGTTTCACATGAAATCTTTTCCTGAGAGCTCACACAGAAGTGGACATAGAAAGCTTCTTGAAAAACATTTAACCCATGCAATGACTGACATTACTTTGTGTCACTGGCCAGACTTGTCTTCCATTTCTTTTCTCACTCCAGTCTTTATTCAGTACTTGGCACCCTGAACATTCTGATTTCTGCTTCTGAATCCTCTCTTCTGCACGCAGCTGCAGATACTTAGTTATGCCCACCAAAGATTGAAAAGGACATACTTGGTAGAGTTTGAACTCAGGGGCCTGCAATGCACTCAAAAGGAAACCACATGAAGTTGGACATAACACTTTATTCATTGCTGTTTCCAAGCCCCAGACAAGACCCATGCTGTGCTCGAGTAATGAGCAGAGCCTTTTCTGTGTTTGTTCAAGACGACTGTCCTTAGTGTGAAGAAACTCCCTGACTTCCCATCCTCTGGCCAGTGGGAGGTTGTTACCCAGAGCCATGGCCAGGAGAGACGCGAGGTCTTCGATGCAGTCATGGTTTGCAGCGGTCATCACATCATACCCAACATTCCACTGGATTCATTTCCAGGTGAGGCCTGGGGTGGGGGTGGGGGGGCGCTCAGCTTATTGAAGTGGGTCTCCAAACACATACAGTTAAAGACCTATGCCGTTTGAGTTGGCGGATGGGATCACTGTTGTGACCGGGGATAGCAGCGAAGGTTGAACAGAGCTGGAAAGAAAAATATAATCTGAACACCATCTTGGTTCCCAAGGCCTCGTGGGGACTTCCTGTACGGAGAACTCAGAGAGCCCTCCAGGGTCCCAGAGTCTCTCCTCAAACTTCTGAGAATTCTCATGCACGCCGGCTCTCTGCTGGAGAATCTGTTACCCACACACCCACCCTAGCCTATTTCTATCCTTCCAAACGCACATCAATGTGCAGCATCCTCCGGACCTTCTCCACAGAGCCACACCCACAGTTCTGGGTTCCCAGAGAGGATTCCTGGCAGCTAGGCTCAGAGCCACAGCACAGGGACGGAAGGGCAATGGCAGGGAGTCTCTGCAGCCCGACGTTCCCCAGCCCCCTCCCTCAGAGCACATTTCCACCCAGGGCCCTCAGGAAAATATCCAACACGGTGTTCACATCCACAGAACCACATTTGGTGCGTCCAAAGCCCTATCAGCTACCACGCCATTCTCAGAGATTCAAGCGCTGTAGGGTAGAGCTCAGACCATAAAAGCTTGCTGAACTACTTTTAATATACAATCAAGGACTGCGTCTAAATCAATGCTCCACACACAGAACTATCTGGAAGGTTTAAAAGAAACACAAAATGCTGGCCCCATCCCAGAATCTCTGCTTCCACAGCTCTTGAAGGGTCTGTGTTTCTACCAACCTCCCAGATGCTGCTACCGTTGCTGGCCGCGTTACTGTATTTTAACCAACAATTCTTTGCTGGTTCTTTCAACTAACTCAAGCCCAAAAGACAAATGCTTTAAGAAACCACGCTTTTCTGGGAAGCATGAAAGTAGTCATTAGGAAAGAACACAGGTTTATATGCAATTAACCATCAATATGTTACTCACTTACTCATTCTACACCTTTTGTTTACTTGGCTCTTCATATGCTTTTTTTTTTTTGCAATAGCAAACTCACAATGGCATTAGTCTAATTAGTATACAATTACAACAACATAATTGCATGATTTAAAAAAAATATTTACTAGGCAAAATTAAAAGAGACATTAGATAATCGAAAATAAGGAAATGACCAATTAGAATTCAGCTTCTGACTCTCATCAAAAACATGTACTTTTCTCTAATAAATATATGCACTTCTGGTTCTCTACAGTATGTACCGTATGCACAAAATCTGTTTTTTTACCCCCCAAAAGGACATAATTGCTGGTTTGAACATTCATAGCCTCCTCTCCTCTTCTCTCCGCAGGTATTGAGAAGTTCAAAGGTCAGTATTTTCATAGCCGTCAATATAAGCACCCAGTTGGATTTGAGGGGAAACGCATCCTGGTGATTGGAATAGGAAACTCGGCTGCAGATATTGCTGCTGAGCTGAGCAAGAAGGCCGCTCAGGTGAAGTATTCTCTGCTTAGCTTCTGCTGAGGGGGAGGAGGAGCAGCGATTGGAGCATCCCAAGTGTATTAGCCCCAACCTTGTCCCCCGTCTCCATGAAGTTCTCTGGGCTTTGCAGTAGCGTTCCTCCAGCAACGCGGGAGTCATGGGTGCGGTCTGTGAGGGCAAAGTGACCACTGGGCAAGGACAACTAGGCAGCCTTCGCTCTGAGGCCTCCGCCGACTCGAGGCCGCTAGGCGTACAGCAGCGTCCCCCCCACAGGGGCCCTGCGCTAACTGCATCTGTTTTCCAGGTATTTATCAGCACCAGACACGGTTCCTGGGTGATGAGCAGAATCTCGGAAGACGGCTACCCCTGGGACATGGTGTTCCACACTAGGTTTAGCTCCATGCTCCGAAATGTCCTGCCCCGGACCGTTGTCAAATGGATGACGGAACAGCAGCTGAATCAGTGGTTCAACCATGAAAATTATGGGCTTGAGCCTCAAAACAAGTAGAGTTATTTTGCTTTTTTTTTTAATGGAATACTGATTAGGAAACCATAGGTACCTCTCTTTAAAAGGTAGCTCAAATTCTAAAAATACATGTACCACATAGGCCATGGAGTTTGAATTCTATGGATCCTTAAGAATAAGAATGTAAGAAGGTAGGGTAGAGCTGAGTATGGTGGTACACTACTGTAATCCGGGCTCTGAGGCAGGCCAATCATGAGAGTGAGGTCAGCCTGCGTTAAATAGTGAGACTGTCTCCAAAATGTGGGTGTAGAATGGAAGTGTAATAAGCCGCTCCAGAAAGAACTCAGATGTATAGGAAGAACGTTCTAAGACTTTAAAAGATGGTGACTTTTTTCTGAGGTGAAGGAGAGTGAATAACTCTCCATGTGACAAGTTTGTTTTCCTTACTCCACAAACCACAGGGCTCTTCCCACGGGCAGCTTTTGGGAACATATTTCTTTCTCTGCCCAAAAGCCAGTATTTGTTGATCTTCAAGCTACACCTCATTAAGATAATAAGCACAAGCAAACATTATGGATGTTTATTTTCTTTAGTTGATAACAGCCTCTTTCCTTCAAAAAAAAAAAAAAGACTTTAGAATTTTTACCAAAAGTCGTATAACTGCTGTGTACTGAGATGTGCTATGGGAAAAATGTACTCTCCTACCATTGGAAGGAGAGAACAATCACAAACCTGAGAACGAGACAAAAAGAACTCCCGAGCTACAAGCTGACTTCATTCTACCATCCCCACCGCCACAAATGCAGACGCCACAGATATCGGATAAACAAATGTCACTAAGCCTAATTTTATAAATTCATTTTCATACTGATCCTATAGTAGGTCTCATGGTTAATATGGTGCATTTTCCCTTCTTTTTTCTAATGGATAGGGATTACATAAATCAGCAAAATAATGAAAGGTAATAACCAAAAAAAATGGTAGAAGTATCAAGGAGATACTATTTGCCAGCACACTGAGAAGTTCACCATAGGCACTAGCATGTGTGTAAGCTTGGGGGTGCTTTCTTCTTCCAAATACCTTTCACACACCTCACCCAACATCATCATTTACTGAGAGCTGTGTGATATGAGAAGAAAGTCAGATAATAAGGCCAACTGATCAAGACAGAGTGTTATGGATGTCCAAGAAAACCCTTAATTTTCAAATATTTTCCCCTAGAAATACCTAGAGGATCCAAGATTCTCCAGTGAAAGCTCTGAGTGTTTTCATTTTTCCTGTGAACCTCAGGTACCTCATGAAAGAGCCCATACTGAATGATGACCTTCCGAGCCGCATCCTCTACGGCGCCATCAAGGTGAAGCCAAGGATAAAGGCGCTCACGGAAACTGCCGCCATTTTTGAGGATGACACGGTGGAGGAGGACATTGACGTCATTGTCTTTGCCACAGGATATACTTTCTCGTTCCCTTTCCTTGAGGATTCTCTTGTCAGCGTGGAGAATAACATGGTGTCGCTGTATAAGTTCATGTTCCCCCCTCAGCTAGAGAAGCCCACCCTCGCTTGCATTGGTCTCATCCAGCCCCTCGGTTCCATTTTTCCAACGGTGGAACTTCAGGCTCGCTGGGTGACGAGGGTTTTCAAAGGTGAGTGGGCAGCTCAACCTCGCAAATCCCTATCAGGTTATGAAGCTGTTCAGACGTGGCACTTCAGCCCTCTAGGAAGACTTGTTTCCCTACCTCGGAGCATTCAGTTCTATCACCTACAAATGCGTGGACCCCCCAGCCTGTGCTGGGGCCTGGCGATGCAGAGAGGAATGGTAACAGTTGTTTTAACAAGGTTTGGCAGATGCTGGAGACTCCTGTGAGAAGGAGTGAAAAGGCAGTTAGCGAATAGGATGACAGGAGAGCACGCGGGTGGTTGAGCTTTTCAGGTGGAGAAATAACGCACGGAAGCAAGATGTGTGCTGAGAACTGCCCACGTGAGCAGGCACTGCTGCAGTGCGATGCGCGTGGCAGGAAGGCCTGAGGTGGGCAGGCTCACAGGAATGGTGTGCTGTGGGAAGGATCCGAGTCTCAGACATGCAAGTCAGTTCTTCCCAAATTTGGCCTCTTGAATTAACTCGGGCCTAACAGCCTGGAATCTGCATTTCAGAAAGCTCTTCAGCAGGCGGCCCCAGTGAGGGAGTGTAAGTAAGAAGCAGGCCTGACCACATGTATATTTCAGCCAGGTTATTCGCGCCTTAGTGTGAAACAGATTTAAAAGGGGGGGAAGAAGAGAGGCTCTTGGAGCTCCTGTTTCCCAGGCGCCAACAGGGACAGGCAGAGGAGAAATAATGAAGGACCAAATGATGGGCTCAGTGTGGAAAGAGGGAGAGAAGGCCGTCCTATCGAGCTCCACGTGGGTCCTCAGTGGGACAGACGCAGTCCTGAGGCAGAAAGCATAGAGCCTCAAATGACAGAGGGGGTTAGGATTGCTTAAACTTGAGGTGCTGGCTGTCTGGCCACAGGAAGGGAACCTGGCCATTCTTCAACTTGCCCGAAGCCCAGGGACCCCTCTGTGTACAGGAGAGGAACTCGGCACACACGAGGCTTCTTGCATTGATGCACATTCTTTGGCCCCAGAACCTATCCTTAATTGGAGCCAGTTTCAACTCTCACTGCATTTACTTCTTTCCCCGGCCTCTTACTTGGTTTTCCTAACTATAGGTCTCCCGCCCTTGAGCTCATTTCCCTAAATTCAATAGCCAAACATATCTTTTCAGTTCTTTCAAGTCTGATCTTGTCACCTTGAACAGGAAACTGTCTCATAGGGTCTTAGGACCTCCAAAGTGGAGTCCAAATCACTTAGCACAGCTCCCAACCATTGAAGAGATGCTGGAGAGGTAGACCCGGCCTCTTCTCTTAGTCCGATCTACTTAATGCTGCAGACCATGCTGTAGACTGAGTTTGCAGGCAATATCAGTAAAGGCCATGGCAGACTTACCCTGGAGTTCAATAATCAAACAGTCTGATCTGATATAGAATGATTAAATAGCCAGATTTTTAATTCTCAAAACAAGCAACTAGGTAATGTAATGACACACTGTTCAAAACAACTTCTTTTGTTGTTTTCTAGGCTTGTGTAGCCTTCCCTCAAAGAACACTATGATGGCAGACATTATCAACAGAAATGAAAAAAGAACCGACCTGTAAGCATGTTTTGTGGGGGAAAAGTTATTTACATAGAGTAGAGGTGCTTCTCAAAGTATGGTGATCTAACTATCTATGAAAGCCACTTATCTGTCTATTAAAAATGCAGCCTGGCTACCCCCATCCCAACTGAATCAGAAGTTTCATGAATGAGACTGGGAATTTGCATTTCTGTGGCATTCCTAGATGATGCTAGTTTAATGACCAATTTCTTTTTTGGGGGGGTCCGGTTGTGGGGCCTGAACTCTGGGCTTGGGCGCTGTCCCTCAGCTCTTCAGCTCAAGGCTAGCGCTCTACCACTTGAGCCACAGCGCCACTTCCGGCTTTTTTCTTTTTGCTTATGTGGTGCTGAGGAATCAAACCCAGGGCCTCAGGCATGCAAGGCAAGCGCTCTACCACTGAGCCACCTTCCCAGCCCCAATAACCGATTTCTTAAAGGCAGAAATTGTGTCTAATCAGAAGATTTTTTTTCCTTGGAATAATATAATTCCAGATGTAAATGATGTTCATGTACAATTTCCCATCTTCCCAGGTCACCCACACGCTTGCTAACCAGGGAATCAAATGGGCAGTACTGGTGACAGCAGTCTGAATATCCCTGGCAAGTTAGCTTGGGTGCCCATGAAACCGATCACGGAGGGGCTGAGGTGCGAGGAGGATTTGTGATTTTGCTGAGGAGGAAAGTGTCACAACAATGACAAAACACTCCTGGCAAGTTGGCTTTGGGGCCTTGGCATTTGCGTAAGAGTTAATCCCCCATGTTCAGAGTCTAACTCATCCAGCATGTACCAAACATCTATTCCGTGCCATCCCAACTTCAAGGTATTACACTCGTTTAACATGTTGATATGAAGCATCTCCTTGGCGGAAAACGCCGAGCTAAATTGTGATGTGCGTTAGGAATCTCCGCAGCAAGCCTCACATACTATATACTTGCCAGGAGACTTAGAGCAGATGCATGACTATTCCATGCCAATTGAAGCTCTCAATATAATTAGATCAGTAGGGTTTCATTCTCAAGACTTTCCATGTCTAGTTTGTCGCCTACTCTCCATCTGAGTCAGGGCCTCCTGCTGGGCTAAGCTTACAGCGATTCATCCATCCTTACTTCCCTCCACTTTTCTCAACTGCTATTGAGGGCCTTACATTCTTATGTAAGTGAGAACATTTTATGATATGTCTTTTTCGCCCTCTTCATTCAGGTTTGGGAAAAGCCAGAGCCAGATACTGCAGACCAATTACGTCGACTACTTGGATGAGCTCGCTTTAGAGATAGGAGCAAAGCCAGACATCGCCTCTCTCTTGTTCAAAGATCCCAAGTTGGCTGTGAAACTCTATTTTGGGCCTTGCAACTCCTATCAGTACCGGCTGGTCGGGCCTGGGAAGTGGGAAGGTGCAAGGAACGCCATCTTCACGCAGAAGCAACGGATCCTAAAGCCCTTAAAGACACGGGCTCTAAAACACTCATCTCGCTTCCCCTCTCCCTTCCTGCTGAAAGTCCTGGGCCTTTTCACTCTGATTGTTGCCTTCTTTTTCCATTTCCAGTGGTTCTGATCTGTCTGCAAACCACTTTTTCGGCTTTCTTACTTTCTCAGTACCTCTTAAAGAAAAAGAAGGCTACAAGAAATAATATTAACTCTAAATGTTCATGTTAGAAAGACAAGTAAAAGGATTAATTGTAGGGAAATAGGAGAATTAGGTCTACATGTAAAACCAAAATTATTTCCTTGCCATTTCACCCTTCCCTCAAGGTAATTAGAGATTAATTTTGGAGAAAAGTACAATTAAATAAGCCTCGCCCAGATCAATAGCACTCTCAGCCTGGACAGGGCTTGAGCTATGTGATAGAATTACACAGAATGAGAAGCAGTATCCGTAGTGTAAATTACCAGCAATTTTAATAGCGGCAAGGTATTGAAAACTCTTGCACAAAGTACTCAGCAGTGGTCCTATTATTATTATTATTATCATTAGAGATTCTATTATTTAATAGATCTCAGATGCTGCTGTGCGCCATTGGCTAGGATCACTCAAAAACACTGAACTGCGGAAAGTGGTGGTGACACCCGCGTGTAAACTCAGCCCTCAGGAGGATTGAAACCCTGCCTCAAACCAAACCAAACCCAAAACACTGGAGGGCCTCATTACTAAGCAAAACAACGACCCTATAAATGACAAATACGCCGAGTATAAAGCTCACTGATAAGCAAATAAGCTAAGAAAATAGTTACATTGCTTACATTTGGGGCAGAAAAGAATAAAAGTAAGATAAATAAAATAAGTAAGATAAGTAAGATAAGAATATAAGTAATGATGCCATAATAGCTAGCTAAAAAACATAGATAATATATAATATGTGAAATGCTTATCATAGGCCAGATTGTGCTGTATACACATCATATATATTTTGCTTCCCACAATTCTGAGATAAGAACAGCTGTTATACCCACTTTATAGATATAAAACTGAGATTCAAAGCAGTTGTATAACAAGTACAAAATCACATGTCTAATCCTAGATGAAGCTCAAATTGGAGCCCAGGATGGATGGACTTTAGAACTGAAGGTTATAACTTGATCCACAAGACACTTATTTATAAGACATCTACTAAAAATAAAGTACTTACTAATCGTTTAGTTTAGCATGTTAGTTTTGAAGGGCTCATTACATGGAAATATGAACTATTTGATTTTATCTATAACATTTGGTTTATATTTCAGGTAGGCCAAAAATATTCACTTAAAGGAAATTACAGTGAAAGATATCTAGATATTAACACTTAAGATAACCACTTAAGATAACAGGGCACTGGTGGCTCACACCTATAATCCTAGCTACTCAGGAGACTGAGATCTGAGGATGGCAGTTCAAAGCCAGCTCAGGCAGGAAAGTCCGTGAGACTCTTACCTCCAATAAACCACTAGAAACCAGAAGTGGCGCTGTGGCTCAAGTGGTAGAGCGCTAGCCTTGAGCTGAAGAGCTGAGGGACAGCGCCCAGGCCCAGAGTTAGGCCTCACGTCCAGACCCAAAAAAAAACAAAAAAGATAACCATCAAGTAACCAAACAAGGAGGCCTCTGCCTATAGCCTCAGCACTAGGCAAGATTGAGTAGAGAGTATTGTAAGTTTGAGGCCAGCCTGGGTGATACAGAGCCCAGGCTGACTTGGGCAGTATACTGAAACTGTTTCAACAACAACATGAAAGATAATTATGGACATTTTGAAAAAATAAGAATTGAAGAGAAAAGTACTATCTGCCAAGGAGACGAACCATAATGACTGAGCTTTGTGTGTAGCACCAGCCTTACAGAACACCAGGCCAAAATGCTGAACTGAATGTTGATCTTTGCCATCTGATAAAAGAAAGCATATCAGTTAGGAGAGACAAACATTTCCTTGGAATAGAAGACTAAAATAAGATACAAGCAATTCAATGTCCATAAACGTTGTCCATAAACATTCAGCTATGCTCTTTCTATGAACTGGGCTTTGAGAGACAAGTTACACTGGTTTGGGAAACCAGACTAAAACCTCTAACAAGGGGCCAAGGGTCCAGGAGGGTGAACAGTAAGGCAGACTTTCCTTCCTTAGGTCTCTCAAGCCTGTGTGAGCATCATTCTTAACTTTAGCCTGCCTTCTTCCCTTCACATTCCCACTCCCTACCAAGGGGAACTTTTTCTTTAATGTTCATTAAAATTACACGGTTGTTCCATTTATACTCAATTTCTTTATTTTATAAATAAATTCCTTTAGACCAAGTGCCAGTGGCTGACGCCTGTCATCCTAGCTACTCAGGAAGCTGAGATCTGAGGATCACGGTTCAAAGCCAACCTAGGCAGGAAAGTCCGTGGGACACTTATCTCCAATAAACCAGTAGAAAACCCAAAGTGGCACTGTGGCTTGCGCAGTAGAGCGCTAGCCTTGAGCTGAAGAGCACAGGCCCAGAGTTCAAGCCCTACGACCGACAATAAATAAATAAATATTCCTTTAAAGCTCCCAAATGTGCATATAGTTTTAGTTCTTGATTAAAAAAATAATTACTTTCCCAAATATGAAAGACTGTTTACAATCCATTGTGCCAATCATAACTTTAGAAATTATCAAGCCTTATTAGAAAAGTCAGGAAACTACTTACTGCCTATGGACCAAATCCAGCCTACCATCTGTTTTTATTAATAATTTCATTGGCCACACCCCCTAATTTATCAGTGGTAGAGCTGAGTATTGGAAGCAGCAACTCTGCAGCACACGAAGCCTAAAGTATCTCCACCTGACCACTTTAGAGAGGCTTTCCTGCCAGACCACCCGTGGGACATTGTTCTGATGGACTCTCCCAACTAGCTCCAGTGAATGGTAACCATTACGCAGGAAGTACCCGTGAAGCACCTGTGCTTCTACTTCTCAGGTACAGAGACTCAGAGACACTTGTCAGGTTCATGTGAAACCTAGTGGGAAGAAAGCGCGTCATTAAGGAAACATTATTATGAAACAACCGTATAACCTTGAATAACTTTACAAATCGCTTGAAACCTCCCCCGAATGTCTGGATACCTTTAGAACAGCATGAATAATTCATTCCTAGAAAGCAAGCCTCGTTCAGACCACCCTCTCTCTGACTCTAGATGGTGTCCTGAATATAAAACTATCCATACCAGACATATTGTCTGGGATCATTTGTTTCAAATTATGATTCACAGAATAATGCTGAAGCTTTTTTTTTCCTTTTGGTCATGGGGGGCTGAACTCTGGGCCTGGGTGCTGTCCCTCAGATCTTCAGCTCAAGGCTAGCGCTCTACCACTTGAGCCACAGCGCCACTTCCGGGTTTTTCTGCTTATGTGGTGCTGAGGAATTGAGCCCAGGGCCTCATGCATGCAAGGCAAGCGCTCTACCACTGAGCCACCTTCCAAGCTCCATGCTAGAGCTTATTGGTAGAAGCTCCTTCCTGTAAATGCAGCAGTAACTGACTGGCCTCGTCAGTCTCTGCTGGAGTCTGCAGAGACAAATAAATCTATTCCCAAAAGATTCCTGTGCACATTTACTTTAGGAACTACTAAGAATTGGGAGTCTCTCCCCTCCCACCAAAAGAAAAAAAAAGAAAAAAAAAACTGTTTCAGGGATTACTCCATAACATTTTCCTTTCCTGGGGGTCAAATTCCTCTCTCCGTTTGGCTTTGATGCTTCCTGCTATGGTTTATAAAATGTTTGCTTTTCCATAAGGTCACCTGCCACTGCGACCTCTCCTCTTCAGAGTCCTCTTTACTGACCTGGCATTTTAACTCCCTTCTCTACATGCTGGCTCCTTCAGTTTTCTCTACTGAAAGTCACACATGGTTCCCTTGTTCTGTAGAGAATAAAGCAAACATATTTTTAAAATAATATTCAAAACACTGATCTGCAGTAAAATTGCAAACAATACTTCCAAATAATAAAAATGTTTAAGAAAAAAAAAACAAAAGCTGAACCCAGAGGAAGTTGCTTCCTTAAAACCGGGCATGTGTCCTGGAAAAGGCTGCTACTGTGGGGAAGGTGAGCAGGGTCCTCCCCGGGCGGGGGATGCTGACACTGAACTCACTCGTACGTACTCCACCCAGGGCCAGGAAACCCATCCATGAAACTAACCAAGACTCCTGGGACAACTTCTACTTCCTCCAGGTCATATGCCAAAGTGAGGTGAAACACGGAAGGGTTTTATTCAGGAAAATACATGTGTAAGAGAAAACAGAGAGAAGATAAGATTGTAATAGTCATCAACCCACAAGGCAAGGCTGATCCTGTGGGAAGAAGAGACGGAGGAAAGGTTGGATAGACGCCATCGAGACTTCCGTGCAACTCAAGGAGCACCCAGCAGTCACTGAGGCGTTATCCAGCAAGAGAGACCAGAGGGCCGGGTCTTCTCTAGCATCAGTCCACGCAAACCATGGCAAGCACGGGCTGTTCTGCTCCCGTGTACGAAAACCCTCCTTGGAAAGCTCCTAGTTTAATGTTGTACTTCGGCGTCCATTTGCCTATGCTGTGTGTCCTGGGAGAAGGACTTTATTTCTAACGGATAGTTTTATTGTTAGAGATCTGTATACTTTCAGCTGCTTGCCAGTAGGAAATGATTGCGTAAGATCGTGGAGCTTTTCTTGAAGCTCAGGGTCTTCTTTGTGTTTGTTTGGGGTCGTTTTTTAGTTTTAGCAATCTGCATCACCTGCCTGGATAAAATACTAAGTAAGCTACTAGATATTATTCATAAGTCAACCTTCATTCTAACCACACACCCCTGTATGAGCTAGAGCACATGGCTTTCCCAAGCTATATAACTTGTAAGTAGGCCCAGCAGGGTTTTATGACCAGAACCTTCCAGATCTCAAGTCTGAGGTAAAGGAAGGTTTAAAGGTCATTAAAGCACCATGTATGATCTCTGCATCAGTTTGGGCTCCTCTCTATTCACCAAAGATTAAAATGACTCTCAGTAGTACTAAGATGTTGAAGAAATACAAATTGCCAAAGAAAACTCAAAGAGCATTTTCATATGGGTCTGTCTAGTTACATAATGAAAAATATATTCATGCCTATTTTAATGAACATTGTGTTAATTTAGATACAAAAGCATCTCAGAACCGACACTGAATTTATTTGGGAGAGATATTTACACTAGGCACCTAGAGAGAGGACAGCCAGCGTTTGGACAAAGAAATGGGTTCTTCAAGAGCAAAGAGAGAAGTAAAGTTCTTTTGGAAGGAAATAGGAAAGAAAATAAAAGTTAAAAATGAGGAAGAGCCAGGCGCTGGTGGCTCACGCCTGTCATCCTAGCTACTCAGGAGGCTGAGATCTGAGAATCACAGTTCAAAGCCAGCCCAGGCAGGAAAGTCTGTGAGACTCTTATCTCCAATAAACCACTCGAAAGCCTGAAGTGGCTCTGTGGCTCAAGTGGTAGAGCGCTCGCCTTGAGCTGAAGAGCTGAGGGACAGCGCCCAGGCCCAGAGTTCAAGCCCCACGACCCACCAAAAATTTTTTTAAATGAAGATGGAAGCCAGCGGGGTGGCAGAGTCTGTATGGGGTGCGATGAAACCCCTCCTGTGGCGCTCTGAGTACTCAACTGAGGGATTAAACACGAGAAACTCCGGGTGAAACTAGGCGTTCTGAAGCTGAGCTCCGCACTCACATGGGTTTGGGCCAGAACAAGAACAGCACAGTCAGAGGCCGATGTGAGTAGAGGAGACCACAGACACGTAAATGAAAGTCACGGGAGAGGCTGTGGTGATGAAGGAATGTGTCTAGGGACGGGAAGATCCCAGCCGGTATCCACATTACACATATTTCACATGGACTCCCAGGATGCCAAGCTTAGAAGGTTTGATAAAGGGGTCTGTATCTCAGAGATCTCCACAAGCAAGCACATGACCAGCATGTATCCATTCGTCTAACTGAGTAAGCACTATTATAGTATGTTGGGTACTTTACCACGTTTGGTGATATTAAGACACACAAAGCAAAGCAAATGTTCAGAATGAATTAAATTTTATGGCATGTACCGAGAATTTCTACAAATACGATCTCACCCACACCTCCCACAGCTGTGTGTGTTAGGTAATGTAAGGGCGATAATCCCAGAGCGCTCATTATTTAATATCCTCTACTACACTCCACTAAAGCACATGATAGACTGCATTACGCTGCTCTAAATAAGCCATGTAAGCGTTCCTCGCTGACTAACCCTGGAACAGACACAGGCTTCGAAGCCTGATACAATAGTAGCTAATATTGATGGAGAAAAAAATACTTCAAGGACAGTAAATGCACTCAGTTGACTTATATTCCACATCTTTCTTGGTGCTTCTATTCTGCAGATTTGTTCAAAGGAAGGAAGGAAGGAAGGAAGGAAGGAAGGAAGGAAGGAAGGAAGGAAGGAAAGGAGGGAGGAAGGAAGGAAGGAAAGGAGGGAGGAAGAGAGGGAGGGAGGGAGAAGGAAAGAGGGAGAAAAAGAAAGAAAGAAAGAGAAAGAAAGGAGAAAAAGAAAGGGAAGGAAGGGAAAGAGAAACATAACTAAGTATGTAAGAGATTTACAGAATAATCTCGTTGGGAACATACACTTTTAAATACGAAGTTCCATGTGGAAATTCTGAGAAGTAAGGAGCTGAGTTTGGTTTAACTGTGTTTGTTGTGTAGGAAAAAGAAATCAGTTGCACTGGGTGGGTCTAATTTTCAACCAGGACTAAAACTAAATAAATCCTATGCTGTCAGCTCTGAAATTCTAAAGCTCTAAATATGAATTCAAAAAAAGGAAGAAATGAAGTGAGATGTCAGATGTTTTAAAAGTACAATGAAGCATCTTTCTAGGGTTTCGATCAGTAAGGGCTAGATATGATGCATTAATAAATAACCTCCACATCTCAACACCTTGAAGTAACAGAGACTATGTTTCAGTGATGTAGTTCCATTGGGAATGGCTCTCCCCACTCACTCGGATACCCAGGATAACAACAGAGTGGTCTTCTTAAAGCTACTGGTTACCTCATAGAAGGAAAAGAAAATCTTATAAAATAGATACTGGTCGCCAGGTGCCGGTGGCTCACGCCTGTAATCCTAGCTACTCAGGAGGCTGAGATCGAAGGATCGATCGTGGCTCAAAGCCAGCCCAGCAGGAAAGTCTGTGAGACTTTTATCTCCAATAAACCACCAGAAAACCAGAAGTGGCATTGTGGCTCAAGTGGTAGAGCGCTAGCCTTGAGCTAAAGAGTTGAGGGACAGCGCCCAGGCCCAGATATATTATATATATATATATATATATATATATATATATATATATATATATATATATATATGGCAATTAACACTCTGTCCCAGGAAGCTCAGGCCACCTCTGCTCAGTGTTTTGAGCTGAATCCTCACATGGTTCTAATCAACCACTAGGGGGCCTGATAGTAGAAGACAAATCTGTATTCCTTAAGGAATACATGGTCTATAGACCTGTCTTCATAGGGCCTAGACCTACTTGAATAAGGGGCCAAAGAGTTTTCCTGAGCCTGTAATCTGAAGGGCCACAAGTGACAGATAATCCCTAAAAACAGAAGAAAGTGAAGGTGATCCTGAAATGGAACATTCTTCACATCTGTACTTACTACAAACCTTTGAATAATCATAGGAAATGAAGTGATCGCATCTGCTCAGTCAGCACTTTAAACTCCTTTGATATCCTACACCTTTGTCTTACGGCTTCTCCAGGATCACAGGCCCCCAGGTGTGGTAGGAGACGAGACATTCATGGTAACCTAACTCTCAAGGCCCCTGGCTCAACGTCAAACACAGTTAGGTTTAAAACACACGTTATGAACATTGTCACCCCATGTCTCGTTCTCTCCCAGTTTTTCCCAACCAGAACCACCCACAAGGTGTACAGTCCATTTTCCACATTGTGTCTGTGGGTACCACTGCTGCATTTGTTCACTGTTTCTGTCCCCCTCCCCACGCAGATACATGAACAAAGGAGACAAAAGGAAAAGAAAACAAAAACAGCTACAAAGAAAAAAAAAACCTCTTCTTTCCATTTCCCGGAGTTCACGTCGACACATATTATTTTATATATTCAGATGCAACATGGCTATTGTGCCTTTATGATCCTCTCCTGAGATCATCTCCCTTCTTCTCACTCTGTGTGAATTCCTAGAAACTTGTATACTTTATCCCATCCCAGTGTTGTTGTTCTTTCTTTTACCACCCAGTGAGTTTGCTTGTAGATTTGTAGCACATTCTAGCTACCACAAATGAGGGAAACCTTGCAACCTGTGTCTTTGGCTCTGGCTCACGTCACTTAAGATAATTTTTCAAAGTCTCTTCATTTTCCTACAGAATGTGCTCTTTATCTGACTTACGTAACTGTAACTACTCTGTACATCACCTCAACAATAACGATCAAGGAATGTAAAAATAAATAAGTGCAAAGCCGAAGAATTAAAAATGAATTAGAATTGATTAAATTCAAATCACAGTTACTTGGTTTCACTATCCATTTTTTCTGTGATTAAAAGAATCATGTACTTAGTAGAGGCAATGGCAGAAAAATATGCAATCTTCACACACTGGAAAAAAAATAAGAACACTCTGTTAGTAGACTCGAATGTTTCTTTATGGCTAAATATTGAGTTTGAAGTCATTCAAATACCATCATCTTCATAATTACCGGAAGGTAGTTGAACTCCAAGAGTTAACAATGCTATCTCCTTGCCAAGAAAAAATAAGTGAGAAATAAGGCCAGAAGTGAGCCAAAAGGAGCAGGTAACATACTTTGTGATTTATGAGGGCCTCCAGGTGCGAGCCAAAGGCAAACGACGATTCTTCCCACGCCTGCATCTCTGGGTGGGTCCACCACTGTCTTCTAGAGCTTGCTCCTAGTGCCTGCAGGACACGTTTCCACGTTATCCAGCCATCAACAAGTATCTGATCTGGCCACGACACCATCACCAACATTACCAACATCATCAGCATCACAATGCTTTCCACACACGAAGTCCCGCCTCATCTGATCTCACCACAACTCTCCAAATGTCCATCTTAAGCTGAAGAAACTGCAGCTGAGAAAAGTCAAACAAAGTTTTCCAAGACTACCCTGGCGCTATTTGGTGAACACAATATTTCAACCCAGGATTTCAAAAGCTGTGCTCAAATGAAATTTACAACGGGGGTGGGGGGGGGGACAGGGGAGGGAAAGTGGTGGAAAATGAGGGAAGAGGTAACACCGTTCAAAGAGACATGTGCTCAGTACCTCCCTTCTGCCACCGTAAACCCTCTGTACATCACAATAAAATAAAATGTAAAAACAAAAAAGTCTATGCTCTGCCCCTATATCCATCTTCTAGTTCCCAAATGCCTGAGCAGTCAGACCTCTGCAGCTCAGTCGGTTGTGGGGCTTGAACTCTGGGCCTGGTCACTGTCCCTGCGCTCTTCAGCTCAAGGCGAGCACTCTACTGCGTGAGCCACAGCACCACTTCCGGTTTTCAAGTGGCTTATTGGAGATAAGAGTCTCACGGACTTTCCTGCCCAGGCTGGCTTTGAACCGCGATCCTCAGATCTCAGTCTCCTGAGTAGCTAGGATGACAGGCGTGAGCCACCACACAGGCTTCAAAGAGCTTTAAAAATTCAATCTACTAATGCAGGTAAATGGGAGACTTTTTATAAATATCACTTCTCTTTCAATACAAAATGGATGAAAGAGCTTCAAAGTGAACATTTGGCATGGCAGCTGTTAGCATACTGTTCTCTTTTATTCTAAAGCTGGCGGTCAGTGGGCATGTCTCTGGAGCTCGCTGGACCCTGGTCCGCCGGTGGACAGCAGAAGGAGTTTAAAGTACACATCACGAGTGTTTATTTTGGCCTATCACTGCTGGGATCAACCATGCTGAAATATAAACAACAGCTAACACTGGGCTATAAGTTTGTGCAGAATGCTTCTTATCTCTCAGGCTGGGTTCATCCTGTGGTCTCTGAGACTTCCAGGCAAGCTGGCTCCCAGACCCTTTGGATTTTTGCTTACTCCAGAATCTTAACCGAGGAAGAGCTCTTGGCACGAGAAATCAGCAGTATATAAAGTAAGTACACAGATGTAAATCTCTGTTTCCCTTGGATGGGGAAGGTGGGGCTGGAACTCTTCCTGTTTTGTTACTGTGCCTCGAGACAGAATCGCTTCACCAGAACTCCAGCTCCCTCCGCCCAGGAGCCTGGAAAAGCTATCCAGCCACTCCTTGCTCCAGAGTGCCGAGTGGTGGTTGAGTATTTATAACAGAGAGGTCAAGTGAGATATGTGTAACATGCGCATATTAACAATACATTATATACTAGTATATAAAACATATTAGTAATAACAAATGACTAATATCTGGGTATTAGTAAGTGCCCTGCTGGGTACACTATTTAGTTGAGTTGAAGGGAAATTTTGGATTTCTGGTGCAGGGAACTTAGTTGTTCCCCTCAAGGGTTTCCATCGCTGTCTTGGTTCTGAGACCACAGCTTGGGAGGTTTGTCTATCACATGCTGACATTTGGTCTAATTCGGAAGCGAGAAGCAAAGATCCTTGAAACCTGATGAATCTGTGCCAGTATGTCTTAATTGTTCAGTTCTTACAAATGTTTCATGCTCCATTCTTTGTGTTAGAGTGAACACTTCTTGATTTTTTTATGCTTTTTTTTTGCTAATGTCCACTCCCAACTAAACGCACTTGGTTCTAAATATAAGAGTTTGCAAATTACTTCTCAACAGCCAGTTCAATGATATATATGTTATACCAGTGGACGAACTGAGCCTCCTCCCTGGTTATTTCTTACGGAGTCCCCTCTGTCCTAGAGAAGAACCTGCTATGACGTGTAACTGGCAGGATGTGTGTTAAAGGGCAGCAGTCTAGAACAGGCTTTAGGAAGCACACTGCAGCTAGAGACTTCAACCCCAAATCATGGGCCTGCTCCCTCACAGGTGCGCCTGGCCTGTGCACCAAGCACCCCCACCCACCGCCCAGCTGGATCTTCCCACAGGTGCGCCTGGCCTGCGCTCCAAACACCCCCACCCACTGCCCAGCTGGACCTTATCTCTGATTATGTCTTTAACCCCATGGCCAACTTGAGGGCATATCATCGTATCATTATGTAATCTGTGTCAAACAGTATTCTCCCAACAGAGCCATTCTCACAATATACTTTTAACAGAAAAATAAACTAACCACGCCAGCATAAACTAACCAGAAGGAGTCCACATGCATGGGTGCATGAGACAGACAGACAGACAGACAGACAGAGCACTACCACAGTGTAGTACCTAACACGGTGTTCTGCTCTTACCTAATTGAAGAATCACACACAGCTTGATGTAGCCTTTCTTGTACCTTCACCCTGGGGTAAAAGGACTTAATCTTCTTCAGTATACTCGATACCATGGGTTCAGTATTTAGCTGGCCATTTTTTCATTTCATTTACAACAAGCCAATACTTATCAATGTATAATAAATAAATTAATAAACAGCGCATCTGAGCACCAATGAAGACACCGCTCTCTCCAACAAGCAGAGGGGAACCACGCGAACATCTGTTAAACTCCGGCTGATCAAGCCACTGGGAGGCGTGGACTGATCTCCCGACACCAACAGATAAAGTCTCTGAGTTAAACTAATTACTCAGAAAGAAAAGACATTTGCCTGGAGCTTCCCAAACATTTTCAGTTAGAGGGCTCCTTACTACACAAATAATTTCTTCACATTGTCCCTAAACCATAATTCCTCTTATTAAGTAGTTGGGTCTAATCAACCAAAGTCATTTAAACAAATAGTGTAAAAATGAAAGGAAAATATTTGTATTTATTCTTGATCACAATGAGTCAAGCATGGGATTCACGTGCCTGCTGCTGCCGCTTGACTTCCCAAACCTCGGACTGGAGAAGACATGACCTCCTCATTTCTTGTCCCCTCCTCTGCCTTCTTGAAGCAGCTGCCCAACCAGACGTCCCTAACTGGAATACTGTCCATCACATGCTAGCCTGTCAGAGGCCTTTAATGCGGAGTGCTGAACAGACCAAATTCCACTCTACTCTCCTCAAAATGCTCAGTCTCTCGGGCATCTCTGCAGAGTAGCATGAAGCCCCAGAGTGGCAGGAAGCCCCGAGCTCAGTGCCCATCCTTCCTAGGTGAGCTTAACAAATGGAGGCATGGCTCAATCTGACTTTATTAAACCACATATCTGCATTTTACTTCTCTGAAGTAGAGGGCACAGAATTCAATCCACAGGGGGATAAAACACAATCATTTCTAACCTTCTGGTTAAAATTTAGCAACTTCTGTGCAACTGCGAGTGGCGTCCCAACTCATTTCACAATTTTGTGTGGCTGAAGGCACTTTATTTGCTTTTTGTTATAAATTTACCTTTAGTGAGATAGCTTTAGTTATTTTTTCATCCGTTGAGTTCTTCTTTCATATTTACTTAGAATTGACAAGGCTCTCTTTCATTAAAAAATGATCGATTTTAAAGGAGCTAACAAAGAAATAGCAGGATTTTTACTGATTATCAATGTGCAGTCTAGAAAGCGGTGCTGTGGCTCAAGCGATAGAGCACTCGCCTTGAGCTGAAGAGCGCAGGGACAGCGCCCAGGCCCAGAGTTCAAGCCCCATGACTGACCAAAAAAAAATAATAAATCAGCTATCAATGTGCAGCGTAATAATACTTTGTGTTGTGAAACAGCACTCCTGCTATCAGCATGGAGGATGCCTTATATACTACTAAATAGAGTAATTAATAATAGAGTGATGGATGGCAGCCATTGACTAAAAATTGTTTTGATAAAAAGATAAGCCAGGTGCCTGTGGCCCATGCCTGTCATCCTAGCTCCTCAGGAGGCTGAGATCTGAGGACCATGGTTCAAAGCCAGCCCTGGCAGGAAAGTCCGTGAGACTCTTTTCTCCAACAAACCACTCAGAAAACTGCAAATGGTGCTGTGGCTTAAGTGGTAGAGCACTAGCCTTGAGCTGAGGGACAGCGCCCAGGCCCAGAGTTCAAGCCCCATGACCCAAAAATAAATAAATAAGATAGAAGGGGGAACACTTTTTCTGAGCAAGCACTTGTATTAAATCACTTTGGTTTCATACAACTATCAGAAATCCTACAAGCGTTTGAAAGCACTGACTTTCCCTCAAACGAAGGTCATCATTTACATGTCTGCTTGAATCCTCATGGTTGGCTTTTCCCAGTGTGGGGAATGGGTCTGCGTGGTTAGTGATGTACCAAAAAGGTGTTCTGAATCAAAAAGAAAACTCTAAGGGAAGAAAACCCTTTCCAAGTTATTTTAAGATTTGCTTTATGCCCTCCGTTCTTCTTTCTATCGCCCTTTCTCCCACCATCCGCCTCCTATTTCCCACTCATTTCTGTAACTGTCTTAAGTTGTTGCTATTGTAGCGTGGTGCATAGAGGGGTTACGGTCAGTACTGAGCACATGATGAGGGTCAGCTCAGCTAATGAGTGCATTTCTTTTTGAGCAGTATCACCTCTTCCCTCGTTTTCCCCCAGGTTTTCCCCTCCCGAACTCCCTCCTTCCCCCTCACCTCCAGCTCAAGTTGTATACTTTATTTTCAATAGAGTGTCCAGTGAGTGTCACGGCTGAATTAGTTCACACTTTGTCCCACTGTTTCTGTGCTCCCTTTATCCTCCCCCAAACACATAAACTGTACAAAATGTCCAGTTTAGCTTTCTATAAAAAATCATTTTTAGGTTCATGTTTTTAGTTGTCTCCAGTGGCTGATTCCAATATTCTATAACTTTGGAAATAAACCCAAAATTATCAAAGCAGATAATTAAAAGAAAAAAACTTGTAAAGATTTGAAAATAACACCTGCAGAAGAGAGGGTCGCATACGCTAGGTGCGATGCTAAATGCTCCTTCTGCACTCGCTGAGTGCACCTTCCACTGGCTAAGAGCAGTCATCCTTCTAGTTGCATATTGAGAAGAAGGAAACTGTGGCACAGAAATTTTAAATTACTCGCTCAAATGTGTCCATGATCATGAACCAGCTTTGAACTACAAACCCACACATCTGGCTCATAAGCCCCTAAAAGCCCCAGGAAGATTCTCTTCTCGTGGTAAGTTTACCTAGCTCATGCAAGAGGAAGATTCCATGTGACGTACCCTCAATGAGATGAGACAAGGCTATCAGTGGCCTCAAGACAAAACCCAGCAAATATGTGCTCAACTATTTCTAATTGAAAATCATGGGAGATCATGAATTAATTCACATCACCCAGTAAGAAATCGAGTCACTGCCAAAGATTATCACAACAATTATTACAGCTCCAGCAAGCTGCTGGGGACTGTGATAAAGCAGACCCGTTGAGGAACATGCCCTACTTTGGGGAAACATACAACCGTAGGCGGCAGTCAAGTTAATCAACAGTGCAGTGCAGCTCCTCCTGCAAGGGACACTGTGGTGGCTCCAGGAGCCAAAGAAAGGCAGGCTAGGGGCTGGGAAGGTGGCTCAGTGGTAGAGCGCTTGCCTTGCATGTATGAGGCCCTGGGTTCGATTCCTCAGCACCACATAAGCAGAAAAAGCCAGAAGTGGGGCTGTGGCTCAAGTGGTAGAGAGCTAGCCTTGATATGAAGAGCTGAGGGACAGCGCCCAGGCCCAGAGTTCAAGCCCCATGACAGACAGAGAGAGAGAGAGAGAGAGAGAGAGAGAGAGGGAGGGAGGGAGGGAAGGCAGGCAGGCAGGCTCCTGGCAAAATAAGCAACCCTGACCTGGGCTTGCAGAAGTCCTACCCATTCAACTCGTATTGCTTTCTGTTGCTTTCCTGCCAGCCCAGTCGGTGTTAGCAGCATCATGCAGTGTTTCCCCAAAGCTTGTGATGGCAAACCAACATTTCAGCACAAGTTACTGACACGGCTGTAGCTGGGACAATGCCTGCTGGGCCGAAGCGGCCCTTCAGTGTCTAGCAGGTGCAAGGGCTGCGTAGCTTCTCCAAAGCATCCACGGAACTGTCAACGCAGCTGGGGACGGGGCGGGGGGTGCGGGAGTCCAGCAGCAGGCTGCCAGCGTACAAGGGAAGGCCAAACAGCTGCCAGGTCGGACCTCAAACCAGTCTATCCTCTCTCACTTCAAGGAAAAATAAACAAATAAGGCCTAGCATGCGCCTTCATGGAATCTTGCTGACTTTTTGCTTAGGCGGGCCTAGAACTGCGAGCCTCCTGATTTCCGCCTCTCAAGACGCTGTGGTAATAGGCATGATGCACTACAATTGGCCAGGTATCTCAAATGTTCCAACAATCCTTAGTTCCTGTCCCAGCGGCCCCAAGAGAGGACAGTCCATCTGACCATCCGCAGAGCCTTGGATGAAAAGACACTGTTGATATGCGTTTCCTTTTCCTCCTTACCGAACCAGCCTGGGTGCTTTCAGTCACCCATCAACATCCTAGACAAGGCAAGAGCCAGCAGGGTCCTTGCTATACCCACAGTCCATCTGTCTGTCTAGAGCACCTTCCCTGGATGCGTGGCGGGCCTCTCTCCCGGGACGCCGTGCGCCCCCTGCTGACCTCCTCTCCAGTTTCAGTGAAGACACACCAGGGGGTTGCCTCACCCTCTTTCTTAACCCAGCTCTTGGAAGTGGCTCCTCGCCTCCCAAAGCGAGCTGCTTAGCTCCTGCTATCCTGCCGTGAGCACAGATGTGGGGCTCTGATCACACACGCCGACTTCCCAGTCATTGGATCCTAAAGGCGATGCCCTCTCACGAGATGTCTGCCATGTCTGACAAGTAGCTTCGGTGAGTGAGGAAGCTGACGTCTGAAGGGGTGAGCAGTCACCAAGCCAATGCCTAATAGCACGGCGATCTCAAACAGATGAGTCTTCACCTACCCCCACCCTCCAGCCCCGTGTCCACCTCCTGCCCAGGGAGGGGCAGTTATGTAGAATTCTTGATTATGCAGCATCTATCAAGATCTAAAGCATGACTGCTCCGAAGAGAATCTACTACTAGCTCTTCCTGCTATGGGAAGTAAACAGCCCTCCAACACTTTCACAGATGCCACTAAACATCTATTATATCATGATCTATATGCTGTCTTGGACCATGGAACACAGCAGAGAACAAAAAGATATAAAGTCACTTTGGTTGAACTTCTCTCCGTTTCCCAATTCTAAAATGCAAATTATTGAACTCCAGCTTTGAGGAGAGTTCATCTGTGGAACAAGGAAATAGCAAATGACCTGGCGCGCTATCTCTAATGAGCCGGACTCATACCTCCAATGAACTGCCAATAGGCTGGATGTAAGCCGTGCTCAAGTGGGAAAGCACCACTTGAGTAAGCAAGCTAAAGCCCAGTGCCCAGGCCCTGAGTTCAAGCCACACACACACACACACACACACACACACACACACAGAGCAAATGTTCAGGAAAATCTGTGTCTTTGGGGCACTTTCTTACGCTAAAAATCTAAAACTTTGGGCAGGTAAAATGATCTTGAAAACACTCTGGGAAGCAATATCTAACACCCTTTGATTTGTGCTCAATAGGTGTACTATTAACCATAAATGCTATAGGAATGTAGTCATGTAAAAGACAGAAACATCAATTTTGGAACCACTTTTACCGTAGCAATGGCTTACATGTATTGAGCATTTGCTATGTTCCAGGAACTCTCCTGTGTCAATTCACCTGAGCCTCGTAGAATGCGGCAAGGAGGCCACTGGTGTTTTCTCCATTTCCATGCTGCACAGAGACACTAAATAACTTGCCTCTGGTCACACAGCAGCGGCTGACGTAGGTGACTGTACTGTCTCACCGCAGTCCTGCCAGCCCTGGCTGTTCTCCCATGGGTCTCTAGCTGCTGCCCACAGTGGCTGTGCCATGCTCCCCAAAAGTCAGTATTGGCTGGAAGCAGGAGGCATCCTTTTTCCCCACAAACCCTCACTGGCAGCCCGTCTCACCCCTCCGCCTCACCCCGCCTCCCCTCCCCCTGTGCAGAGACCGCTGTGCAGTCGCGCAGCTGTGTGGTGGCAGCATCCGCAGTGGTCAGTGTCCTGGCTCCCAGTCCCAGCCCCACCCCACGGGCTGCTGGGTAGAGGCCCCTCCCCAGTCTGAGCCTGGCTGCGGGACAGGTCAACCTTCTCTTTCGCTGCCGCTCTCCCCAGCTCTAGGGCTGGAGCTGGGAGGCTGGATGCAGTCCAGGCCAGCCTGCAAGACTCTTCCAGCACAGGGTCCGGTTTCAGCCACTTGCCAGAAGCTACACACAGCTCTGATGCTGGGTGCCAGGTCTGAGTGAGGGGCGGGACCGTGACCAGGCTCGGGGGTTAAAGCGGTGACCCAGACTCTGCTTCCCTACACGCACACACACACACACACACACACACACACACACACACACCCGCGGAAATCCTCTCATCATCCAAATTCTTGCTCTTCTCCCTGGCTTGTGAGAGCCGCCCAGGGTGGGGTGAGGCTTTGTGAATAAAGAGCTCCGTTTCGCTTCCACACACACAGGAGACCATGGTGAAGCGGGTGGCCATCGTGGGAGCCGGGGTCAGCGGCCTGGCCTCCACCAAGTGCTGCCTGGAGGAAGGTCTGGAGCCCACCTGCTTCGAGAGGAGCGAGGACCTGGGCGGCCTCTGGAGGTACACCGTAAGTGGGCTTTCCGTTGCCTTTCATGTGTCACTGCAATAACAAGAGGCCTGTTGGTGTTTTTTCCCACAAGGGCTTATTCTGATAAAAGGCTACGTGTCTGCTCAATGCGGGGTCTGGGGAAGGGGGGCTTAGGAAAATATCAAAAGTAGAAACTAAGCATGGGCTGAGCTCTCATGAGACGCATCAGCAGCTTTATCAATGTTATCCGGGCTGAAGAAGAAGAAATGTTTCAAAGAAGCCCATAAGCTATGGAAGCGAAGTGAATGACGGGGCAGGCATAAGGAGCAGAAGCAGCAGAGGGTCTTCCGCGGGGCCAAAGACCGCAGGGTTTAGAACAACCACACGAACTGCCGCCTCCGTCTGCAGGACTGAGAGGCTCCCACTGGCTTTTCTGTTTTCCCTGCCCCATTCCATCTGTGTCCGGGCGACAGAGGGGTCAGAATAAGATCGGTTCTATGATCAAGCTCCCACAGCCTGAGCCATGCCAGTCTATGCTAGAAAAGATCAGAGTTTTTGGTTTTTTTTTTAATGGGTTTATCAAGCCTTTTTTTGTTGTTCCCTCAGAAAAATAAAAAGAGAGAGAGAGAGAAAAGTGATATCCTCTAATCTGAGCAGGATAACACTCTGGACTGGAAGGGACTGTAAAGCTCACCCTTGACTGGCCTGTATCCCAGGGGGTTTCAACAGTCCTGCTTCAGGCCCATGAGACCAGGAAGAGCAAGGGCTCTTTGAGCTCCAGGACTCAGCCAGGGGAGCATTTATACCAGATCTCTCCAAAACGCGCGCTTTTTTACTCCTTCCAGTCAAAAACATTTCCCATAAACATCAGATGTGCTAAGGAGAAAGTTGTCAGGCACAGTGAGAGAGAGCAAGTGTCAGATTCCCCAAGAAGCAAAGAGAAAGACTGGATATTACCTCCATCACAGAAGGAGTTGGAACTGGAATAAACTAGTGATCTTCTAACTCACTAAGCAAAGCTTTCAGAAAAGCTAAATGGTTTACTCAATACTTCTCCAGCAAAGGACAGCTTGACACATATAAAGAACTGCATACCCTAAACTGTCTCCAGGCACCAAATGTGGGCATTAATGCATGGAGACCTTCAAAAGAGGACTGAGTAAAAGGACACCCCCATTCCCATGATTCAAACCGTGTGTGTTCTGACAGGATGTAGAACCTGTCACCTGCCCCGAAGCACTCGCTTCTGTACTCAGTGAAGACACTACTCATCAAGCAATCCCCTAGCCAGTGGGGATTCTCAGATTTCTTCTTCACAGAGTTCCCAAGATCTAAGCACATCTAATCTATGAGTTAGCTTAAAAGAAGGTATGATCCAACTCAACTGCCCAAGTTTGGCTAAGGTAATTTCAGTTAAAACAAAGTGAGTCCAAAGAGCAAAGGTTATATACAAGTCTCTTGAGATACAAGACCCCCACACCAAAAAAAAAAAAAGTTCCTTATTTAGGTGACAGATGCCTAATAGTTGACATTAAAATTCATTAAGAATCAAGAGACATAGGTTCAGATTCGACTGTGTACAACGGGCGGTGTAACTTGGGCAGAGCAAACATCTACACAGAAAGCACTGCAGGGGACACACAAACGAGAAGGATTTGCCCAGCCCCGGGGGGTTGTCAAGCAGAAGGAAGAAGGCTAAGATCTTGCAAGTCAGAGCAGTGCTGTGAGCATCGGAATGGGAATTGGCTCACGGCCACCGGCAGGAAGCCAGGGGAAGCTTTGTGGAAAAGTTGGTGGAGGTGAGCTTTGAAGGATTTCAGTAAGCAGAAGAGATGGAGCAGTAGATGCCAGAAAGGGAAAAGGTGCCAAGCATGTTGATAACTAAGACCTTATTGGTGCATACGGCTTATGTAAGAGAAGCAGTGATAGGGAAACAGGTAGATGACTATCAGTTGCTATTCCGTTTCCAAAACAACGGGTAAGGAACATATTAGAGAGTCCTTATTGTGGTTGTTGCCTTTGAACGTGTGCATGATGCAAAAGTTCAAAAGCATTTGTAGGCAAAGTGAAAACCTCTGGATTGTAGGAAATGATTGAATACATGAGATTAAACTGAGAAAGGATTCTGGCAGAAAATGGAAGGAATGTAATTATGGGCATAGATGGAGGAGTTAGTTCTGGATTGTAGGAAATGACTGACCACACGCGATCAAACTGAGAAGGGATTCTCGCAGAAAATGGAAGGAATGTGATTACGGGCATAAATGGAGGCATAAGTTCTAGAAAGAAAGAAATGAGACACACCTTCCCCAGAGACTAGGGGAAGGGACAGTAAGCACAGGAGATAAAATGAACAGAGATGCAACAGCATGCTTGTGCACACCCCCCACACACACATACCCTAGAGGCCTGGAATTTTCTTTCTGGAAATCATGGCAGTGTAGAAGGTAAAGAGGGTTTAGGGGGAGTAAGTAGAATTGGAACAACAGGAAAGCAGAGACCGCCAGGAGCAAGTTCTATGCGGGGATGTAGGATGCCATCCGAATTTGGCTTAAGAGGACTGTCAGAGAAGAGCAGAGCTGACTGGTCAGCTGACACGTCTTTTCGCCTCTAGCGCCTCATTTATAAAATGAAAACAAGGAGCCAGTTTGAGAAACAGGTGAGTGCTGAACCACCAAGGACCTGAAGAGCCCGACCAGCCCCGTCTTTATTTATTTATTTTTTTTGGGTCCGGTTGTGGGGCCTGAACTCTGGGCCTGGGCGCTGTCCCTCAGCTCTTCAGCTCAAGGCTAGCGCTCTACCACTTGAGCCACAGCGCCACTTCCGGCTTTTTTCTTTTTGCTTATGTGGTGCTGAGGAATCGAACCCAGGGCCTCGAGCATGCAAGGCAAGCGCTCTACCACTGAGCCACCTTCCCAGCCCCAGCCCCGTCTTTATAAAGCAGACTTCCCTTGATATAGAAGCGTCTTGGGGACACTGCTGTAATACCTTGAAGTTCCCCTAAGCCCACTAGGTGACCTTGAGGGTATCTCTCAGCTCCAACATGCTATGAGTTTTCTGAGTCGTTCTGAAGATGTCCCTTTTCTCTCCTTCCGAATACTGAGAGAGACAGAGAGACAGAGATGCAGCATGGACACAGAGTAGGAAGCCCAGCCAAAGCCTGCAGAATTCAAGAACTAAAGCGCTAACGCTAACAACTCTGTGCTTGTCAGAGCTGCATAGACATAGTGTGGTTTCCTGGTGAGGTTATGAGCCTCCAGAACCCACGGTGCAAACAGAAGAGGCAAGACAGATACGCCAGACAGTTCCCGTTTCCAAATGGGAAGGGGCCGAAAGATAGATAAAGCGATTACACAAATCCCTGCCCCGCCCCCCACGCCGGCCCACCACAGTAAAAACATCACGGATTGGGCTCTGTCTCTAAAGCTTCAGCAATCATGGCAGGTCTCATTTGACTCTCATGTTCATACCATTTATAAATGTCTTCTGTCTGTCTGGAGGGGCTCCTGACAGGCTCCTCAGAAGCTTAAATTCTTGGGGCTCCTCCGTTTTCTCTGAGGCTTCCACAGCTCTTCTGTGACACAGACCCAAGAGCTGCCCAGGGCCTCCAGGGAATGTCTGACTTCCCAGGGACACATCTTATTGTCTGTCCTCTCTTCTCTTCCCTTCCCTCCCATTCTTCCTCCTCCCTTTGTTCTTCTGTGCTAGGGAATCAAAAACCCAGGTCTTTGCACACGCTGAGCGAGCATTCTTCCTCTGAGCCACATTCCAAGCCCTCTGTTCGAAAGAAAGAATGTTTCATGAAGAACAGGAGTTGTGAGCATTGTACATACCGACAGAAGTTCTCTGCCCGTTGCCGGTGGCTCACACCTGTAATCCTGGCTACTCGGGAGGCTGAGATCTGAAGATCACAGTTCAAAATCGGCCTGGACAAGAAAGTCTGTGAGACTCTTATGGCCAATTAACTGCCAGAAAAAAAAAATGGAAATGGGGCTGTGGATCAATGTGGTAGAGCACTAGTCTTGAGCTAACAAGTCCAGGGACAGTGCCCAGGCCCTGAGTTCAAGCCCCATGCCTGGCAAAAAAAACAAAACAAACAAAAAAAAAAGTTTTCTAGGTAGAGAATTCCTAGCTATGGCCCCTTTACATCTGTTTTTAAAAGAAGAAAAGAAAGACCTTTGCCCTGGTAATAACTCCCATTGCCAAAAATCTTCCCCAAAGAACACAGAGCTGAAGAAAGACAATTACTTGGGAGTTACAGAAGAACAATATGGATAGTATTTAACCTGCACTGAGAGGCCGGTGGGCACTGGTGTGGGCACCTTGTCACTCCGTTTCTGTTTATCCTGGGAGGTACCTGTTCTTGATGAAGCCACTGAGACACAGAGGGGTTAAGAAATTCCCAACACGACCTGATGAGAATGTAGATGTAGCCTGGGCCTGTGCTGGCAAGAGCCACACTGCACGCCCGGGCCTTGCCAGCTTCAGAACTCAAACCCGGACAACCTGACAGCGGCACACAGAAGCCCACCAGGTTTCTCAGCGGGCGACGGCGCCATTCTCACTGCACCGTTGAACCAAAGTGCACCAGAAGGCCAGGAACCCCACTATCCCCGTTCCCGTGCCCTCTGCTTCCTCTGCAGCCCGTTTCTCCCCCTTCTACCTCTCACTCATTTCTTCACCCTCCTGAGAACAAGACTCTGCTCCGAAATGGCCCTACCAATTCTCAGGGGGTCGTGTGCTCTCACACACGGGAGTGCCAAAGCAACTGGCAGAGCCTCCCAGGGACAGTGCCAGGAGGGAGGGCAGCAGCGGAAGGGCTGGGGGGGAGGGCCTGCGGGCCTGGGAATCGCTGGTGCAGATTTCCCCCTGAAGGAAGCGCGGGAGGGAAGGCCCAGGACCCACGGGTCCCATTGACAAGGGACACACTCTCAGACTCGCTGAGCATGTGCTAAGCACCACAGACCCGTGCACTTTGCCAGGACAAACAGTCGGTGGGAGGAAAGGGAGAAGAGAGCAGAGTTCAATCTCAGATTCCACCCTCAGGGCAAAGTCTCCTTAAACTCTGCTAACATCTGTGATGCATTACCGAGCCACAGGCTGCAGCATTTCCTGGAAGCTTTTCTTCTTCCCGCCCTGACAATTATCTCCTCCAGTTTGGAGAAACAGCTAGGTTTTCACCTCCATTTTTGTGATTTATTTGCCGTAAGATGCCTTAACATACAGAGTTCCCCGGATTATCTAGTTCCACTAAGTCAGATGCGTAAACACTTTAAAATGCTTTGATTTTTTTAAACTATTTTATAGAAATCTTTACTAAGTGTAGACCACAAATCTCTTAAGTCTTCCTTAAACAGTATGAGTGTGAGTGTGTGTGTGTGTGAAAGAGGAAAGAGAGGGGGGAGGGGAGAGGGAGATTTAGCATTTGCAATAGGATATTTCTTTATCTTCTTGGAAGCCAGAAACACACGAATGAAATTTCGCCCTACACTAACTGATCCAAAGTGTTTTCCGTCGGTAGGGGTTGGTTTCCTACCTATACCATAGCCGCGTCTCTCTTTACTCTCCCGTATTGGTATTATGGCTCCTTGTAACCATCATCTTGTTTCCATAACCCAGAGGAAAGCTGAGTAAGTCGGCTGAATTTTGGACCCTTAACTAATCACCTTCTATTCTTCCCTGCCCTCTCTAATTTATCTTTTATAGAACCAGAATTGCCTTTCCAAATCATCTCCATTTTTAAAGCATTCAATACAGTGCCATAACTTTTCTATTAAAAAATCCAAATTCCTTAACTTTGTACAAAAGCCTAATCTTAACTTTGCTTTTCCTTGATCACTCCAAGAATGCCATAAAACTAAAATACCTAAAAATGGCCCATCCCCAAAAAAGTGCTTACAGGCTCTTGTCTATTTCTATGTTTGCCTATACTTTTCAGTGATAGCATATGAATACAAACAGGTGAGTTTATAGAGGCTTATTTGTTACCATGTAATAAGTGAAATTATAAAAAAATAAAATTATGAATTAACAAATTATAAATTATATTATAAAAGTTAATTATAATTTTGCTGAAATCTAATGTTTACCATTTCCTTGATGAAGAAAATCAAATCCCAGTAGAAAAACAGCAGGTAGAATATTTCATCTGGGTCATCTGTAGTATCATCACTGCTTGAGACTTTAAAAACGTTACTTTCCTGTCTGTGTGTCTTGTGTGTTCATGCATGCATCTCATACCGTGCACTGTTTGCACAGGAATATGTGGAAGAGGGCAGAGCCAGTCTCTACAACTCTGTGGTCTCCAACAGCAGCAAGGAAATGTCCTGTTATTCAGATTTTCCATTCCCAGAAGATTACCCAAACTTTGTGCCAAATTCTCTCTTCCTGGAATATCTCAAAATGTATGCAAACCGATTTGATCTTCTGAAATGCATTCAATTCAAGGTAAGACATAAAATAAATCATCCAGAAGTATTCTCTTCTAGTCTATTACCTCTCCTTGGGCTAGTTCTGGGTTCTTCAGATGAGATGTCCATCATTGTTTTTAGTGACAGTACTGGACTGTGAACTCAGGGCTATGCACTGGCTAAGCAGGTGCTCTAGCCCTTGTGCCTGCGAGAGTTTCGTCCTTGCCGGGGTCTTATTTTATGCTGGGTTCAGTCTGGACTCCTATTTGTGCTTTCCTTTTGTGGCTGGGTTGATAGGCAGAGCAAAGCTAAGTACTGGGTTCCATTAGCAAGTAAGTAGATTGAATTTGGGACCCTTAATTAGTCTCTTTCTCTTTTTTTCCCCTGCCCTCTCTAATTTATCTTTTATAGAACCAAAATTATCTTCCCAAAACCATCTCCATGTGTAAGCATTTAATACAGTGCCATAACTTTTCTATTAAAAATCTAAATTCCTTAACTTTGTACAAAGCTTTCATAATCTTAACTTTGCTTCTCCCTAATCATTCCAAGAATATCATAAACCCAAAGTATCTACAAATGGCCCATCACCAAAAAAAACTGGTAATAAATGGCCTCAAATTGTGATCTCCTCATCTCCACTCCCAAGTAATTAGGATTATGGGCTTGAACCACTGCCCCTGGCTAATAAGACTTTTCTTAGGCAAGCACTCTACCACTTGAGCCATGCCCGCAGCTTATAATAATGGCTTTTCTGAAACAAAGAGTTGCTAATGCAAATGTAGAAACCTAATAGGCATTTTGAATATTATCAATCAGAGAACAGATGCATTAGGAAACATATGAGAAGCCCTTGTTCTCTGATATTTTTGAAAAGAAGGAAAAGGCAGCAAAGCCTCATGGTAGGTGAATCACCTTTGCCTTTACATTTGGCTTGTGCTGCATTTATTAAGTGCACACGTCTTGGAGGGGAGTGTTAGAGTACTGCCTAGCTCCCCAGCATCATGAAAAACAAATATGCTTTCTAAATCAGTACATAGATGAGGGAAGTGTATGTACTCAGTGAGCAAAGAAAGAGACTATTTGAACTTTGGACTACTCCTAGAAACACCAGGCTGCAGTTAAAATAGTTCTTCAGATCTGGGAAACTTCAGCAACGTATTCTGTCAGACCTTTCTTCCCTAGGCTAAGATAGTTGAGGCCAAATTTATGTTGTCAGCTATAGATGACCGTATCTCTGTTACACTTAACTATTGTTCAAGAGGGGCTTCTATTTAAAAAAAAAGGTTTCATATCAGAAAAAAAATCATCATAAAAAGACATCACTTGCAGGGAGAATTTGAGCAGACCACTTAATCACAAATCCAAGATTAAAATACTTTCATCCAAGAAATCACAGTGAGTCTGACAGCCTGATGAGAAGTCTAACATGCTGCTTCCTAATTGTGTTGTGTTTGTTCTGTGCTCTAGAGCTGTCGAAGTGTCAGCTGGCACGTCCACCAGCCAGGTCTTGAAGGAAAGTGGAGAGCTCCTAGTTGTGCCTGTGATTCTCTCTCTTTTTTCCAGACCAAAGTGTGCAGTGTTACCAAGCGCCCAGATTTCGCCACTTCTGGCCAGTGGGAAGTGGTCACTCTGCACGAAGGGAAGCAGAGCTCAGCCACCTTCGATGCAGTCATGGTCTGCACCGGGTTTCTTACTAACCCTTCTGTGCCGCTGGATTCCTTCCCAGGTAGAACATGTTCTGAAAACAACTTTAAATTGTCTGAAATGAACACCGACACGGGGTTGGGACAAGGATGAATTCCTAAGGCTCCTTCACTAAATGAAGTTTTAAAGTAACAGATTTTTTTTTATAACTAGTACTTTTCTAGTCAGTGTTTCAGTTTCAAACAAGCTATGAGAACAAAGGAAAAGAATGAATAACTGACTAAGCAGTTTCACGGTTCACTAAGATTCAGTGTCTTTCCTTACAATGAGAGAGAGAGCCAAAAGCTCTTTCGAAACACAGGAAGCTCAGACAAGTGACTTGAGTTAGCTACACATTACCAAAGTTGAGTTTGGAGGAAGCACAGGTCAATCTGTGAATAAAGAAAAAGCAATTTAATTTTTTCTTTACTTATTTGTTTTAGATGATCCTGGCAGTTGGCTAGACCTGAGGTTTTTTGACAGTGTGTCCATAGTCAAAGGGAAAATGAATCTTGGGGGACAAGTTAAGACATCATTGTGTCTCAGTTTCTTCACCTGGTTTTTGCATCCATGATTCATACTAATCTATGCCAGATTTCAAATGGGCTTCAACTCAAGGGAGTATAACATGCTATTATTTAGTTCATTTTTACCTGCAGTTAAATATTCAACAGGTTAAAGTTAAGGAAACTTTTCTCCAAGCCATGTAGCTATGGCCTAGAATGATCCCTACACTTAATCTTACAGTAAGTAATCATGTACAGCCCTTGGTCCCACATCTGCCCCAGAGATCACTCAAATCAGGTCAGAGTAGAATACAGCCCATCCTGAAAACTGCCATATGAATGAATTATTAACCTGAAAAAGAAATGATCCCAATGCAAGAAATTGTTCTCCAAGACCCTGAGGGGGGCGTAGCCTGCCTCTGCTGGACACACGCTCTGGAAGGGACTTTGGCCGTTTTGAAATCTTTCCATCTCTCAGAAGGGAGGGCCTGTCACGGGTCACCCCAACAATCTAGAAGGCTCCATGGTCCGGAGAAAACCACATTTATCCAATACCAGCCGTATATTTGTACTGGCTACTAAGATCACAGAAATGATCACAGCACGTCGCCTGTATCAGAGGCACTGATACACACCAGGGGAGAAATCAGTCCCCCTGGAGTGACCCCATCCCTCCCCTTCAGTACATCCACACACCTCCCACGGTCCTGGGCCAGCTCCAGAAGCGTCAGGTTAGAACTCACTAAGCAATATGTATTCTCAGGTTGACTAAGCCATCGTCACCGAATGAGATTTCTCCTCTGTCCTTCTGCAAGATAAGAAGTCCATAGTCCATAGAAGACAGACACGCAGAGTCTCATTTTTGCCTATTTGTAACCCAAAACAGCTTGATGCAAAAGGAATCTGTGGCAGTCTCAGGATCTAGAGATTACGCTATGACCCTCCCTAGCCTTTCCAGCTCCCGCTTCTTGGATGTCTTTAGATCCCTAGTATGGGGTCCCTGTACTGAGCTAATATTTGAATTTGGTGGGGTCCATGTCACATTCTAACTGTTCTTGATCATCTGAGGTTTTAACCAGGATTCAGGCTAGATTGCTCATGATTCAAGGACTATCAGATCTTGACAAGGACGCTTCCTATAAGCATACCCAGTTATCCCCAGAAAAACTAGGTATCTTGTCACTCTTTCTAGAAAAGACAGGTTCTGTGTGCTGATTGTGCCACAGGTCCAAAGCTGTCTATTTGCACTGACGTCTCAAGGGGCTTGGCACCAACAGCCTGAGATATCTCAGTAGCCCAGTGGAGGTGATCCTGGCGTCACCAACATAACCCCTTCTAGTCCGTGCCAACTCCGCTGACTCCCCAAATGGACCCCAAGCTATTGGCAGTTTCCAGGACTGTCAGAAAACTTCCACAACTTGTGTGGACATTGGGGAAAAAGAACCACATTTATTTTATTTTCCTCACAGAATTTAGCACACCGCGCAGATAGGCTCCATAGCAGATGTCCCAAACGAACGCCGCATTGAGACCCTGGTTCAGAGTTTCCTTTAACTTCTTTTTTCTTCTTCTTCTTGTTCATGAAAAGCTGCACAGACACATAAATCAAATACTGGAAATGAGAGCATTACCCCACTGACTTCCCTCAGCCTTTGAATGGCCATAACTCCTTTCACGTTCGTTTAAGGTGACTTTGGCCCTAAGAGGTCAGCTTGGTTGTTAGTCACTAAGTAGAACTAGAAACCCAAGGAGTAAGATGGAGTAATTTCCCATCTGTACACATAATTACATGGGATGAGTAAATAAATCCGATGACCTGCTAACTTCTTGAAAAGTCATTTATTCAGATTCCAGGTTTCCTCAAATGTGAGCATACTAGTCCAAGCAACCATATCAAAAGTGTGTTGTCCAAACAGAAAACATATGTATGTTTTATTTCCTGATCCTATACATTCTTGACTTGGCTTTGTTTTTCCAGGCATCAAAACCTTTAAAGGCCAGTACTTCCATAGCCGGCACTATAAACATCCAAATATATTTAAAGACAAGCGAGTCCTTGTGGTTGGAATGGGGAATTCCGGCACCGACATTGCTGTGGAGGCCAGCCACCTGGCCAAAAAGGTACCACCCTTGACATTAAGACTCCTGTCTCAAGAAAACTGCTTAATGCCCAGCTAAATGTTAAAGAAATAAAAATGCCTAGCGTGTAACTGATTTTTGAAGAATGTGTATCGATTACTCACAAAGTTTGCTGCTGCTGTAAAATTCCCATTGTCCTGTATTTCCCCTAAAAACACTTTCTATGAGTTCTGGTTTTGTCCTGTTCCTAGGCACCCAATGAGAGGACAGGACACAGCCCCACACTTCAGAAAACCCTGGCAAATTTTTCCTTCCTAAGGGCTCCCATTCGCCTCCTTTTTAAAAATTTTATGTATTTCTTTTGGATCCAGTCCTGGGGTTTGAACTCAGAGCCTGGGCGCTGTCTCTTGAGCTTCTTTTGCTCACGGCTAGCGCTCTACCACTTGAGCCACAGCCACAGTAGTTTATTGGAGGTACGAGTGAGTCCCGAGTACTTTCCTGCTGCGGCTAGCTTTGAATCATAACCCTCATATCTCAGCCTCCTTATATATAGGATGGTAGGCATGAGCTACCAGCATCTAGCTTTTTCCTTCCTCCCTGTGTGTGTGTGTGTGTGTGTGTGTGTGTGTGTGTGTGTGTGTGTGTGTGTACTGGGCCTTGAACTCTCTCTTCCTTCCTTCCTTCCATCTTTCTTTGAATTCCTGACCATGTCCCGTCTCTGTGGTTGCTTCCAGGTGTTCCTCAGCACCACTGGAGGGGCGTGGGTGATCAGCCGTGTCTTTGACTCGGGGTACCCCTGGGACATGGTGTTCATGACACGATTCCAGAATATGTTCAGAAATTTTCTTCCAACTCCAATTGTGTCTTGGTTGATAGCCAAAAAGATGAACAGCTGGTTCAATCATGAAAATTACGGTGTAATACCAGAAGACAGGTAAATATAACCTCTCTGCCCAAGAATGTTAGGAAGCCTGACTCTTTCCAGTCCTACATAGAAGCCAGGCAATAGCATGCAGAATTATGGCAATGCTTTTCAGTCATACAGATGTCTTAGGTTATAATAGCTTGTTTTGAAAGTGCTCAGTGAATAAAATTATATATTTCGCCTTTCCAACAAATCTTTAAGGTAAGCATCATTACACGCTCCCTTTTGCTCTGTGAAAACTGAGACTCGGCAACACTCAGTCACCTACTCTCGCTCATGCAATACTAGGTGGCCATGGAAAGTTACTTGGGCCTTGGCTCCCACACCAAGATAATGATTTGTCTGTGGCCTTGTAGATGAAAACAACACATCAGCATTATTTCATTCTGCTGGGAAAATCCTATAATTGCCCTTCACCATCTCTTCTTGCCTTGGTGGGTCCCTTGAGTGACTTAACTCACTGACAAGAGCCAAAGCATTTCTTCTTCATTCATTAAGTGTGTGCAGCGGGGGCTCCCTCCTGCTCTCTCCGCGGGTTTCCTTCTGATCAGCACGGGTCCCTGACCGAGCCACCCCAGCTGGCGTGCCGTCCCTCCCGTCATTTCTCTCTCTGCCTTGTCCTCACTCTTCCCATTGCGGCTTGTCTTCTTTCTTCTACCCCAGGCTCCTCCTTCCACCACAGCTTTTTCTATCATAAGTTTTATCTGACCAGAATGATGCCTTGCAGGTCTGAAGACATATATTTTTAGTCCTTTTCTCTTTGGTGTAGTAAATCCTGCGTCATTTCCAAAGTTTAAGATGATATATACATATATATTTATATACACATACACATATGTGCAACATGTATAAACATACTCACACAAACACAACTTCCTATGATCTTTCATTCTATCCAGTGTTCAAGGATGCTATTACTATCTCTATTTTATAGGTGAACAGAAAAAATCCTATCAAAACTGTAAAATTAGATCAAGCTCTGTAACATAAAAACAGTTGGAAAAGAACCCATGCTTACTACATTGTAATCCATGCTTACTGCATTGTAATCCATGCTTACTGCATTGTAATCCATGCTGTTTCCATGTTAACATATCATCTCATGTCTCTCTCCTTCCTTCCTTCCTTCCTTCCTGCCTGCCTGCCTGCCTCCCTCCTTCCTTTCCTTCCTCCTTCCCATTTTGGTTTTTAAGACAATGTGTTGCTATATAGTCCAAGCTAGCCTAAAAGAACTTTTTTTGCCTCGGCCTCCAAGTGCTAGAATTGTAGGCATGGACCACTACACACAGCTTCTTTCTACGCACCTATCACAAGCTCTGCATGGCTTAGTTTCTACTGTGTTAATCTTGTTCCTAAAGTTCATACAAGCCAGAAAAAGATGATTTTATCTGTGTTCCTTCTTGGAAACACGCGTGTCTTCCGTAGCAGCTGATTTATAGGGGATGAGCGCTGGAGGCAGCCCCCCGCAGCTCTTGTCAGATATGCGAGTCCTGGCTCACACCTGCCGGCTTTCAGCAGGACACTGTCTCCGCAACGCAGGGACGGCTGAATGCTGAAAACTCCGCAAGCGAGCCTGGAGCTAGAGCAACTCCAGCTTCCAGACTCGAGCAAATAGGCTGGCAGACTTTATCACCCTTGGACAGCACGCACCCCTTCATCAGAGGTTAACATCTCCCACAGCTGGCAGCTCTTATCCAGAACCGATGGGAAGGGGGAGGAGGGGCAGGGGCTGGCCACGGTGCAGATGTCTCCCCTGTCTGCATTTCTGCTCAGGGTTCAGATGAGAGAGCCTGTGCTGAATGATGAGCTGCCTGGCCGCATCATCACCGGGAAAGTGTCGATCAAGCCTAGCATTAAGGAAGTGAAGGAGAACTCGGTCATATTCAACAACACCCCGAAGGAAGAGCCCATTGATATCATCATCTTTGCCACGGGCTACACCTTCGATTTCCCCTTCCTCGAGGAATCGGTAGTGAAAGTTGAAGATGGCCAGGCATCACTGTACAAGTATATCTTTCCAGTGCATCTGCCGAAGCCAACGCTGGCCGTGATTAACCTCATCAAACCTCTGGGCTCCATGCTGCCCACAGGAGAAACACAAGCTCGATGGGTGGTCCAAGTATTCAAAGGTAAACGATAAGAAATCACAAGGAACGTGCTTTCAGTTTCCCATGTGATAACTTGAGACTACTCCCTAGCTCCTCTTCCAAACAACAAAATCATTCAAAAGCAGGAAACATTCGGTTTTCTACTGCATGATCTTATCCTAACAACTTGTAACATCACTAGCACCAACTGGATCAAAATATAGAAGCTGCCTGGGCGTAGTGGTAAAGGCCCATAGGCCCAGCAACATGGGACATAGAAATGGGAAAATCAGCCCTGGCAAAGTTAGCACAAAAAAAAAAGAAAGAAAGAAAGAAAGAAAACTAAACTAAACTAAAATCAAAGGTATTGGGACATAGCACAAGTGGTAGAGTGCTTAACTAGTAAGCATGAAGCTGAGTTCATTCTCTAATGCTGCTCTACTGCTGTGTGTGTGTGTGTGTGTGTGCATGTGTATACATGTGTCCACATATATACCCACAAATATACATGTTTCTACATAGTATGTATATACATATTATAAATAGATAGATAGACAGACAGATAGATAGATGTAATGCCATCCTGTTATTTTGAGCAGATCAACTGGTTGGATTAGAATTTAAAGGCCCAATCAAGTGATAAAGTTCAGTCAAACTAGCCGTGAGGTCGGGTTGTATCAGCTAGCTAGTGAGAAAGCTAGATGGTTAGCTTACCTTTTCAGCAGGCCACATTACTGCCAAGAGCACATCATCAGCCAGCTCAAGTCTGCATGCATTGTGGGATACTAGAAATAGAAGATGAATTCTAGGAAAGCATCTTCATCCATAAGCACTGAAATCTAAAGGGAAATTGCGTTCGTTGTTTACTTAATAGGTACCACTCTACTACCACCAGCGAGCGTCATGATGAAGGAAGTCAATGAGAGAAAAGAGAACAAACCCAGTGGGTGAGTGAACTGGGGCATCCCTTCTGAATCATAACTAAGCTTGGTGAGAGGGCCATAGCAGAGAGGTGGGACGTGTGTTGGAGAAAAGAAGGGCAGCTGAGAGTCGGGGAAAAGGAGGAGGACTGGTTTAATAAGAAGGACGCAAAGGGAAATTGAGAACTTGTAATGCCCCCAGAATCAACTCGAGCCCATAGCCACAAAGCATCACACGGAGATCGGTTAACAGCGCGTATAGCCAACCCTCACTGACGCGTACATTACTGGAAGCGCTAGCGCATCTGCCCACTCAACAAGTCTTGGTCAACTCTAGTGTTTCATTGGAGGTGTTGCTGTAACACGGAGGTCAGTCAGCCACGCCTCTGGGCCAGATCTACTCGAGTGGTTTTGCTTTTGATTTTGCAACACTTGAAAATTAGATGAAGTTCAAACCAAAGTGTCCACAGACACTTGGTTGTAATGTACATGCAGTTTCCAGCGGCTGCTCTTGTTACCACAGTAGACTGAGCAGTAACTGAAGACCTCAGAGAAGCTCAAAGCAGGGGGATTCTGGAGCTGGCCTTTTGCAGAAGGTTTGTGTCGGCTCTCGGGACCCTGTGACAGCCATTCGAGGGCCCGGGGTAGAGGAGAAAGACGTTCTGTCCTTGTCAGATTCCAAAACAAAATATTTCAATTATCTCCTCTTTATCCTCACACTGGAATACAGGGTTTTGTTTTGCCTTATTATGCAACTCCTGTATAACAAATAATTAAAATAACTACAAGTGCCCCACTCACTTAATCCTAGCTAGTCAAGGAGGCGGAAGATCAAGATTTAAAGCAGCCCAGGTAGGAAAGTCTGTGAGACTCTTACCTACAAAAAAAGTACTCAAAAAAGCCAGAAGTAAAGCTGCGGCTCAAGAGGTAGAGAGCTAGCAAAAGAAGCTCAGGGATGGTGCCCAGGCTCTGAGTTCAAGCTCAGGACTGGCATACACACACACACACACACACACACACACACATCCAACAACAATTTCAAAAACCCTGTTACACAGTGTAGAATGTTCTCGCCACAAGACAAAGCTGATGCTTCAAAGGACTCATTTCAGCAGGACAGAGCATTTTACCCTACACATTTTTGTGGCTCTTCGTATTACACAAATAAAGTAACCATTTAGTTTGGGAAAGTAGCATGAGACCATTAGAAAGCTGTGGATGTAAAGAAGAAAACATAGAAATCATTCCAAAATTTGCAGGACTATTTGTTTGCTTCAGACAAATGGTGAAAGATTTTCTTTGTTCTGTGATTTTCACTGTTCCTTTCTCCTGGTCTTCTGCTGCTGCTCCTGCCTGCCCCGTCCTCCTCCGATCAAGGTTTGGCTTGTGCTACTGCAAGGCTCTACAGTCGGATTACATCCCATACATCGATGATCTCTTGACGGCCATCAACGCGAAGCCCAGCTTGTGGTCCATGTTCCTGACCGACCCGCGGCTGGCCTGCGCCGTCTTCTTTGGCCCCTGCACACCATACCAGTTCCGCCTGGCGGGCACAGGAAAGTGGGAAGGAGCCAGACAAGCCATCCTGACGCAGTGGGACCGAGCCCTGAAAGTCACCAAAACTCGCACTGTGCAAAAACCCCCCTCTGCCTTTGACATCTCGCTTAAACTCTTTGGCTTGCTGGCTTTGCTGGTAGCTGTGTTCTTGGTTTTCCTCTGAGTGAGAGATCATCCAGGTGGTTTATCGACACAGGCTGTGCAGTGCTTTTCACTGCAGAAGTCTTGCCTTCACTTTATAAACCATGCCCAAAGAGCAAGGCTAGCCCTCTCTCCCTCTGCTATTCCCAGACCACCCCCCTCCCCATCTCATTATGTCTAAGGCTCGAGGGTGCACCTGAAGGCTCTGGAAGGTTCCAAGTCCATTTTAGGGACAGAGCTTTGCCAGACAGAATTCTGAACAGGTGTCTCTTTATCCATAAAAACTACTTTTTCTAAGTGAAGGAAGAGGTGATATCGAAGAAGCATCGTACTCATAACCTGACTTACAAGATTGTAGCTCCTGTGATTGTACAACTCCTTAAAAATAAAGAAGGGTTTTCTGGGGGGAAAATACTACTTTCATCCATCTAAACTAAAACACCATACCTCATTTGAAAAAAATTGGTTTGCACTAAGATGATGCTCATGTGCTATTAACTAACGAAAATTAAAAAAGAAGAGAGGAACCTGAAATTATTTCAAGTAGTCTTTTGGTTTGTTTCTCATTGTTGTTTCATTTTATTTGGGGCTCTTTTTGTTGTTGGTGGTGTTGTTTTCATGGGTTGGAGGAATAAAGAAGAAGAGGAGGAGTGTGTCAATAAAGCCAATAAAAGAGGCAGCACAGGGCTGGGAAGGTGATTCAGTGGTAGAGCGCTTGCCTTGCATGCATGAAGCCCTGGGTTCGATTCCTCAGTACCACATAAACATAAAAAGCCAGAAGTGGCACTGTGGCTCAAGTGGTAGAGCACTTGCCTTGAGCTGAAGAGCTGAGGGACAGCGCCCAGGCCCAGAGTTCAGACCCATGACCAACCAAAACAAAACAAAACAAAACAAAAAAGAGGTAGCACAGAGCTAATCTGAGATTTTTTTCCAAGGAATGTACTTACATAGAAATGCTTATTATTCTCAATCAAACCAGCACTCCAGCTAGTGTACTAAACACTCAAGTCAGACCTACTCCATAGAGAACTACTATGTTGAGTGGGAAAACAGCTCCCAGGTAGAGCATTGTTCAGCATGCACAAAGCAGGTCCTGGGTTTGAGCCTAGCCCTTCAAGGATGGAAGGAAGGAGGGAGGGAGGAAAGGAGAAAGAGAGTAAAGGAGGCAGGGAAAGACAATCAACTCTACCTGCTTTTAGAAGCAGCCTCTAACAATCTAAGAAAAAAGATCTGCTCAGATCTGAGTCAACCTCTAGGTCTGAGTCAACCGAATTCAACTGGAATTCATGAGAGACATAACACAGCCAAGAAGACTTGAATTAAGAGAGAGAAGAAAAAGGAAGAGGGAAGAAAACCAAAGCAAACACCACGTAAGAGCAGTTTTTGACCAAATTCAACCCAGGCCATCTCACGATTACCTGTGATAAAAATGTGGCACCAGCCAGGAAAGCTCCGCCACACTTCACCTGCCTCATGGCTCAGACGGCAAATCTCACCTCACAACGAGGCTCACGGACTGGCTGAAGAAGAGGATCAGGGAACTACAGAGACTGGCAGGCTTGAGCTCCGGAGGTACATACAGGTACACGCAACCGCTTCTCCTCGGCATTCCCAGTATGATGTCATCTCCTAATATTCCTCCTGAACTGCTCCACTGCGGCGCAGAGACGCCAAGGAAAATGTGTCCCCGCAGAATTCACTGTCATTACCGGACGGGCTTGTCTCTGGAAGATGAAGAAAGAAGGGGCATCAGTGTCCAGGGCTAGACGAAGTCACATGCAGGTCACAGTGGCCGAGCTGATGTGAACATTGTCTACTTCTTAGGGCGACTCAGTATGCAGTCCGACAGCTGTCCGATGTCTGGAGCAATGCAACTAACTCTGACCTACAACCTCTCAGCCATGAGATGGTCAAGGCAGTCAGTACTTGGTCAAAGAGGCCACTTCTAGTCGCGCTCCTGCTTCCAACCAAAGAAAAGCAAATGAGCTCTCCACAAGAAGCCCTAGACAATGCCTTGCTTCTAGTCCACCTCCTTCTGCCAGGGGAAGGATACCTGAACTTGCCATGTTTTTACTATTAAAAAAAAGGAACCCCAGCTAGGAGGGAGGAGGAGATGAGAAGCCAGACAAAATGTTAGCCAAACTTCCCTCTTAACAAACAAGCTAGGTATAGTGATCCACACCTGTAGTTTCAGCTGTGCAGGAGGTATAGGTAGGAAGAGCACAGTCCAAAGGCTGGCCTGGACAAAATAGCGAAGGCCTACCCAGAAAATATACTAAAAGCAAAAAGGTAGTGTGGCTCAAGTGGTAGAGTACCTATATAGCAAGCACAAAGCCCCGAGTTCAAGGCCCAGCACTGCCAACTGTAAATAAATAAAGTCTCTTGCTTTCCTTTAAATCTATGATAAACATCCATGACCGTGCTTGACTATCTTGCTCTAGCAAGCCCTGCCTTTCTTTCAACAGCACAAAACACACACTCTATTAACTTGTATCTCACTTGTAAACGATGGTGATCATTATAGTGCTGCATATTCTATACTGTTTCTAAGTCAATAATAATTCTGCAGTTTGGATGCAGTGTTCCTTTGTAATTTAACAAGTAAGAAGACTCAAACAAGAAAATGTCAGCTGATTTGTCCCTGGTAACTATCAGGACAGGGATCTCTAAAACACAATCCAGGAAAACTCGTGGTTTCCAATGGACAAATGACCTGAAAAGTCACTTAGTAAAGTGAATTACACAGACACATAAGGTCATAGTAAAGACCTATTATAAGGATGCTCTTCTCCAAGTGGATCATGTCTCTGTCCCTTCTTTGTGCCCTCTGAGTGTATATGGAAGCTCCTGTCTGTCTGCTACCTCTATCAATGTATATCTGCCCCCAGTATCTACGACTGTGCGTTTCCCTTCTTATATGCCTATATTTTTTCGGAGTCTCATAGACACCTTTTTTCCTGTATATTCCTCTTTTGTTTCTGACTATAACTATAGTAGGTCTATGGCCATAATGGGAAACAGAGCTGATAAAAAGCCTCCTAATTCCTACTCTAGAAATCATCCATTTATTACTTTGGGAAACAATATTATTTTTCCTATTCAGGAAATTAATATAGGGCAGGAGGTGTAGCTCAGAGACAGCGTGCTTCTATAGTGCACATGAGGTCCTGAGATCTATACCCAGTAGCGCGCGCACACACACACACACACACACACACACACACACACACACACGAGAGAGAGAGAGAGAGAGAGAGAGAGAGAAGAAAAAAAGCACTTCCAAGAAATCTAACAAAAGAGGAAATGCATAGATCATTCTGGCTTTGCTGACTCTGTTTCTTGCATACCTTCTAAATCGGAACTTCTGAGACACTTCATGTGCATAGATAAGTTTGTAATTTCTGAGATTCTTCCTACTGTATACAAACAGCACCCCCTGCTGGCAGTCCTAAATAGAGATCTCTGTTGCCTAGGCCAGTCCTCTGGGATGTTCTGCGTGGCCGCTGTGGAGGCCTGCTTGGAGAACCAGGCCCCATGGTTAGCATCCCAGGCTCTGCTACCAGTTGTGGGACTTTGACCAAACACTAGCAAAATGCAAGGCCTCAAGTTCAAGAGTCAGTACTATGAAAGAAAGAAAGAGAAAGAAAGAAAGAAGGAAGGAAGGAAAGAAAGAGAGAGGGGGGAGGGAGGAAGGAAGGAAGGGACATATAGGAAGAAATGAAGAAAGGAGGGAGGAAGAGAAGAATGGAGGGAGGCCCAAAGACACTCGGCCCTGCCGAAGGTGTAGGATCAATGCATAAATCAGGTGCATTCCTGTATACTAGTAACAGACTGTCCATAAAAGAAAAACTATCATGCTTCTGTCTATTGGGGAATGCTAAAACAAAGTATCTTGGACTGGGAAACTTTTAAACAACGGACATGTACTGCCCAAACCTAGAGGCTGGGAATCCCAAGATCAGCCGGCCAGCAGATTCCAAGTGTGTGGAGGGCCAGATTTCATTGCTAAGGCCTTTCCCTCACCCTCAGGCAGGAGCCGCGAAGCCCCTCAGCCATTAATCATTGACGAGGACTCTACCCTCATGTTCTAGTCACCCATCCAGGACTCGCTCCACATAATCCAACTAACATTAATGAAATACAGAAACGATAAAACATAGAGGGACAGAACACTTCTCATTGCTCTTGGTAGTGTTTTTCTTTTCTTCTTTGGCTATAACAAGAAAAAAAAGTACAAGCAGAAAATGAAGAGATAGACAAATGAGAATTATCAGACTGAAAAGTGTAGATATGGCCAGGAAGACAATAGTGTGAGCCACAACTCCACTTCTGGGTTTTTGGTGGTTAACCGGAGATAAGAGTCCATGGGCTGGCTTTGAACCACAAACTTCAAATCTCAGCCTCCTGAGTAGCTAGGATTACAGGCATGAGTCACCGACACCAGACAACCTTTGATACTTTTGCAAAGGAAAATAATAGTACCTTACTAAAAAAAAAAAAGATTGCATATTAATCTGTGGGTTCACCACTTCTTTGGCATGGTGATACAATCCCCTAAACCGAGCATTCAGGAAAGTGAGGCTGGAGCGTTTCTGGCGCTCCACGCGATTATAAAGTCAGAGCTTGACAAAAAATAAATAAATTTTTTTAAAGAGAGAAAAGAAAAAGACCTTAAAGCCTTCTGATCTTGGGGCTTACACTCAATAGTCAAGGAGTGGACTTTCTAGTCAAACCTCTGACCACGTTCTTCACTTACATTACCTGCCCGGTAGGCAGGTGTCCACGGCCTTCCGACTTCTGCTACAGAAACTGTTCAGTAAACCATGCTGGGAAAGGACGCTAAACACAAAGCCGAAGATGTTCTAGTGTGGCATCCGTGTTCTGAGTAGAGAAAATAAAAATGAACACTATGTAACGTATGCTCACCGCTACCACTGCCGTAATGGCTCCTCGGCTCTTCTCGTGTGAGGATATCTCACACCTGTAATCCTAGCCACACAGGGAGCTGAGACCTGAAGCTGAAGGAGCACAGCTCAGCATCAGCCGGGCAGGAAAGTCTGAGAGACTCAATAACCAGCAAAAAGCAGAGGTGGAGGCATGGTGTGTGTGTGTGTGTGTGTGTGTGTGTGTGTGCGTGTGTGTGTGTGTGTGTGTGTGTGTGTGTGTTGCTTTCTCAAATACATTTTCCATCTCCCTCAATAGACGGAGCTAATACTGCTTGAAGTCCTTATAAATCCTGAAGTTTAAACCTCATACTTCAGGCATTAGAAAACACCAGTCACGGAAGAATTTGACCTAATTATCATGCTGTCTTCTTTAGAGAAACGAAGAGTCGGGCTTTGAAGCTTGTCACTGATACTGCTGTGGCTTTGCGCCCTCTAAAGGCAGCGAGGACAACAGCACTGCCCACCCTGGCACAGTCTCAGGCTTTGCTTGAAAGCTGCTTCCAAGGGAGGAGAGAGGGGAAGAAGTCAGTCCCCAGGTCTGTCCAATCCAAAAGCTGAGTTCTAACCCGCGCTTCAGCCCTCCCCGGAGATCACGGAAGTACCAAGCTCACGTTGATTCACAGCGTTTTTTCCTTGGGGAAACTACTCCCGGCTGTCATCCGAATAACAGAATAAGCAGAACAAACGGCTTTAGTTTTAAACAGACAGCACTTTGGCCAAAGTCAATATTCTGTTTAGAGAATTTGGTCCATTTTTTAAAAAGACAAATATTACCTTCTTTCGCTCTTCGGCTTTGGGAAATAGCTCAAGTGTCTACAGTATACTAACAAGGTAAGTGTCCTGGGCTTTTTACTTTCCAGGGAAAATGTTTCCAGACACTGCTTCTAGAGTCTGCGCGTTCTTGAAGCGTTCGTTCCCTAAGCCAGTGATTTGAGGCCTCTTGGTTACCAGGAATGCCACAGAGCTAACAAGCAAGTGGAAGTTTTAGAGAAACAAAGTTAATCTGTGGAAGAAGTATTCAGAAAGAAGAGTAACAGAGCAGGGTCCCTCCGTGGTCCTCGATCTACGCTGCCTCTACAAAGAAACGGACGTAACAGGTAGGAGAGGGGAGCTCAAAACACTCCACAGGTGCCAGGTCAGAAAACACCACCAAAAAGCTGCAGAAATGGGGTGATAAGAAAAGTTAACTGATCAGATTCCAACCGTGTAGAGCTCATCACTGATTACATATTTAGGAGGAATAGGGGATTTGGGTTTCAGAATTTTTTGTTTTTCCTTTTGGGTGTTTTTTTTTTTAAGGGGGAACACAGAAATAGAAGGGGAAAGGGTAGACAAATGCAGTCTCAGTATCCGGTATGTGGAAAATGAGGTCGGCAACTTATAGACAGAGACAGAAGGGTTCCACAAGGGGAAAGCAAAGGACAGGATGCATGACATTATCCAGAAAGAATTGTACTCACTACCTAGTGTATGAAATGATGTCATTATTGTTAATAGTAACAATACAATGATAGTTTTTCAAACAGGCAAGAACAAATTTAGATAAATACTATGTTTGGCTTTTCAGCTTTGAGAAAATATTGAGGTTTAACTATCTGCTGTCTGCTAGCACCTGTGTCTCTCCATATCTCCAAAGTTACTGCTAGCTGACCAGGAATAGGGTGATATTTTGCTATTGTACAAAGTCCAGCTCAGTAAACCAGATCACCATTCTGTAAATGGACCAAGTACAAGCTATCTTTAAGGAGGAAAGTATTGTATATTTCCTAAAATACTTCACAACTGACGTATAGCTCCCAATTCCTCACCTTTCAGAAAAACTGCATCACCTCCATCTTTGCATTCATGTGGGCTTTTTGTTGTTGTTGTTGTTGTTTAGGTTTGGGGGGACTAGATTTGCAGACATAAAAACCATTTTTAAGATAGAAAATACTGTAATCCTCTGTCTTACAAGTGTAAAAACAGTAGATAGAGAAAACAAACACTCTGTCCAAGGTTACAGGCTAGCGGCAGAGAAAGAATTTGAATTCCAGTCTCTCACTTTCTACTTTGCTCAGGACCTTCCCTTACTTGATTTAGGCATGTTTTGAAATGGCTGCCCCTGCTCAGAAATGTGCAGTTTGTAGATATGAACTTCATTTTAAAGTGTAGATTTTGCCAAACTGTGGTGGCTCACACCTGTAATCCAAGGCTGAGATCGGAGGATCGAGGTTCACAGTGAGCCGGGGCAGGAGAGGCCATGAGACACTTATCTCCAATGAATTACTCAGAAAAGGCCGGAAGTGGTACCGTGCTCAAGTGGTAGAGCACTAGCCTTGAACAAAAGAGGACCCAGGACAGCAGCCAGGAGAGAGTTTAGTCAGTCTTTTCAGAGAGACATTTTTTCCAGACACTTATCCCATTGCCCAGTCTGGACAGGGTCAAAAAGCATCTGCCAGCATCTGCCTGGGCCTTCGATCTCTATAGGACTTCGTCCACGTCCCACCTGGTCATCGTCTGAGAGCACGTCTGTCTGGGCCTTCGATGTTTGTAGGACCTCGTCCACATCTGCCCTGTGTATCTGATTGGTGCTGGTCATTATTCCTGGTTAGAAACCACTTAGACTCTCCTAGGCTTTGACTCCACCAAATTGACAGGAATTATTTGCCTACTTGCTTCCAACCTTGTTGGGAAAGCTTATCTATATGAGCCGCTTTTTTAAGGTGACGGGAGGGAAGGAGGGAGAAAAGTTGGGGCCATAGGAAGTAAATACAGAGTAATATCTCGACATTTGTGCTTAAAATGCAATATGCTTAATACACAGTCCTGTGGGAGTCTTTTTTATTTCAAAAACTATCCTATCTAATGGTGTTTCATAGCTTTCTCAGGGTGAGAGACGAAGTTCGAACCCATCTCTGCTGCTGCTAACACCCTCTCTCTTTACAGCCTACCCAGTGCCCAAGGCAAGCCTCTCAAATGCACTAAGAGCTTAAGGGGGGAAGGTTTGAGTTCTCCACAGGAGAGGAGCCAGTCTTACCAGGGCAGGATGGCCGTGCATTTAAACAAGCAGTCCCGGGAAGTCCACTCTCAAAGTCCATGAGATGCCCAGATTCAGCTGGCTCTGAAAGGCTGGAGATCTCAGAAGTGCCCAGCTCCCAGTAGTCGGTAAACCACTTTCCTTCCTGGTGCTTCTGACTGTGTTAGCAGGCAAGACGCAAAACCACCAAGACAACCCCGACCCACCTCCCCAAAATGCGTAGCCGCAAACCCAGGCCCAGGTTAAAAAAAAAGAGTTTGAATGAAGCATTCACGGGACGCCGGGCTCTCAGCACAGCAGCATGCGCGCACCCTGGCTTCCGAGTCTGAGACACAGCCCAGCCACCGCTAGCAGCCCAAGCGTCCACGGGAAGACCATGCTGTGTGAGCCGCCGACTGGCCCTGTGGGCTCCACGCGTATTTGTTCTCCTAGTTCCCTAGGGTCAAGGCCACTGTAAGTGACAATGACTACAAAACTCACACTTGATCCTGCCCCTCCCCCAAATACCACAGGGTCAAATGTAACACCAGAGGAGTCAGATAGTTTAAAAGCAACTACGTGGATGTCCCAACTACCGCACTCGTGTTTCGGGAGTGGCCAGGGGGTTGCAGGAAAGCAGCATGCGCGGAGAAGGCCTCTTGCCACAGCACCAGCACCAGGTGAACCTGACGACACACCTTCTGGTCAGGGCAAAAGCTAGGCTGAGGTCTGTGGAAGTCTGAAGCGTCAAATGAAAACAAGGCTAGCTCTCTGCTTGAATAGATAAAATGCTTTAGTGACCCCCTCCCTACCCCATGCTACAAGCCAGTCAAAGTCCAGCAAGCAGCCAACAATCCAGGGGAACACTTAAGAAAGAACGTATGCATGCTTATTATATAGACTATGCTTATAAGCAGATAATAACAAAGAGACATCCTAATTGGGGAAATTGACAGGAATGAACGATTTACAAAAGAAGACATACCACTAGCCAAGAAGCAAAAGAAAATCTTTTTTTTTATTGTGAACATACTTTACAGAGGGGTTACAATTACATGGGCAAGATAATGAGTACATTTCCTATCGAGCATTGCAGCCTCCTCCTTTGTTTCCCCTTCACATCCCTTCCCAGCCTCCCCCCTCCCCCACAAGAAAATCTTTTTGATACCGAAGCAATTGGATTTCAGAGCCTGTTTGTTTGTTTGTTTGTTTGTTTTTTGGTCAGTTGTGGGACTTGAACTCTGGGCCTGGGTGGTGTCCCTCAGCTCTTCAGCTTAAGGCTAGTGCTCTACTACTTGAGTCACAGCACCACTTCTGGTTTTCAGGAGGTTAACTGGGGTTGTCTTTGAACCTCAATCCTCGGATCTCAGCCTCCTGAGTAGCTAGGATTACAGGCGTGAGCCACCGGCACCCAGCCAGAGCCTGTATTTTTTAAAGCAAAACATAATTCTACTTCCTCTCAAAGATGAAAGAACAATGTTTTTCCCGCGACAGTAGCTGGGTCTTGTTCCGAGGTCTCACTTCTAACACGGTCACACAAGGAGCTGTGTGTGAGCTTCTTCCTGCAGAGCAGAGCATGGCCAAGCGAGTGGCGGTGATCGGGGCAGGCGTGAGTGGCCTGTCCTCCATCAAGTGCTGCCTGGACGAGGCCCTGGAGCCCACCTGCTTTGAACGAAGCAGTGACTTCGAGGGACTGTGGAAGTTTACTGTGCGTGCCCCTGCCCGCCTCCC